CTTACATAAGCACCCCTTTCATCATTGAATCGAAAACGTATTTTGTTATTCTAAAAGAAAGTGGAGTTTTTCAACTCGAGTTCAGTCAATTGAACACAATTTACACATAATTTTTTTCTGAAACTATAATCAAAATTGAAAAATCATCGTATGCAATAATGACGCTAAGCAATCTAGAGTCAAGTATGTTTCAATTTTAAACGTCATTATTAAGATTGTTTTTTACTTTCCTCACTAGAGAGGAAAATCACGTTTTCTTCGCCATTTTTAAAGACGAAAGTAGTTGTTTTTAAAGTAGTTTCAGATTAAAGTTGTTTAAAAATTTTTTTTATAAATGAACTTACTACAACCATTGAATAAAAAAGTAATGTTTTATTCAATGCTATCATTGAATAATAAATTCAGATTCTTTATTCAATGATGCTATACAACGTAGTAACTAACACAATGGAACACGGCATTTTTCCAGAAAAACTAAAACTAGCTACCGTAATACCATTCTTTAAAAAAGGCGAACCGGAAAAATTCGAAAATTACTGATCGATTAGCTTGCTATCGTCTTTTTCAAAAATTTTGGAAAAAAATCATAAGTAATAGACTGGCCAGTTTTCTTGTAAAGTGCAAAATGTTAGAAACAATCAGCTCGGTTACATTAAAGGTAAAGGCAATGAAATAGCTGTCTTTCATTTTGTGAACGAAGTGTCAACCGTCGTGGATAAGAAAGAATTGCCCCTAGGTACCTATTTATTATAGATTTATCTAAAGGTTATGGATATGTAAATGCTAATACGTGTATTACTAAAAGAATATGGAATACGAGGCATATCACTGTCGTATTTAACTAAACAAACTCAGAAATTGGTATTTTGGTTTTTGGTTTTTTGTTTAAATAGAAAGAGTGAAGGCTGACTGAGGTGAATGCGTCTGTGTGGCCCTTACTCCTGTCTATCTCAAACAAAGGATTGTATTAGGGCATAGGTGCCCAACGGGGGCCTGTGGGCGCTGCAGGATTCCAGGCGGACAGTAAGGGTCCTCAGGAGTAAGTGGGGGGTCGTTAATTATGTACATACAGAGAAAGGAAAAGTCGTAACAATTAGAAAATTAGTTTTACTCAAATATTGATTAACTTAGTACCTACTACCAGAGCTGGACAGTATTCGATTTTGTAAATACTTTTTAGCATTCAAATCCTTTAAATTATTCAAATACTTTGTAATTAACTACTTTTATGGAAGCAGTATTTGTATTTGTAACTCAAATACTTTCACAAATATTTAGTATTCGAATATTTCGCAAAGTATTTGAATACTTTGAGAAGTATTCGAATACTTCGCATAGTATTTGAATACTTATTAACCTTCCTTTTTTTTTACCAAAAATCGACTGCACCAAAATTTCTCGGGAAAACACTTTTTCTTATTAATTTTGGTGCGTAGAATCCAGATGATTCGTACTTTTTCGATTAGACTTCTCAATCAAAAGTTATAGACTAGAAACCAATTTCGAAAAAAAATTCAAAGGGCTGTAACTTTTGAACTAGTGGCCCAATCTTGGAACTGTTTGAAATTATGGATTCTACAGGCCACATTCTATAAGAAAATTTTTTTCCGGGTCGATCTGAGACAATTTTTTTTTCGGGGCTCAAAAAAAGGCAGTGTATAACCTTCCTTTTTTACCAAAAATCGACTGCACCAAAATTTCTCGGGAAAACACTTTTTCTTATTAATTTTGGTGCGTACAATCCAAAACAGTACGTACTTTTTCGATCAGACTTCTCAATCAAAAGTTATAAACTAGAAACCAATTTCGAAAGAAAATTCAAAGGGCTGTTACTTTTGAACTAGTAGCCCAATCTTGGAACTGTTTGAAATTATGGATTCTACAGGCCACATTCTATAAGAAATTTTTTTTTCCGGGTCGATCTGAGACAATTTTTTTTTCGGGGCTCAAAAAAAGGCAGTGTATAACCTTCCTTTTTTACCAAAAATCGACTGCACCAAAATTTGTCGGGAAAACACTTTTTCGTATTAATTTTGGTGCGTAGAATCCAAAACAATTCGTACTTTTTCGATCAGACTTCTCAATCAAAAGTTATAGACTAGAAACCAATTTCGAAAGAAAATTCAAAGGGCTGTAACTTTTGAACTAGTAGCCCAATCTTGGAACTGTTTGAAATTATGGATTCTACAGGCCACATTCTATAAGAAATTTTTTTTCCGGGTCGATCTGAGACAATTTTTTTTTCGGGGCTCAAAAAAAGGCAGTGTATAACCTTCCTTTTTTACCAAAAATCGACTGCACCAAAATTTCTCGGGAAAACACTTTTTCTTATTAATTTTGGTGCGTAGAATCCAAAACAATTCGTACTTTTTCGATTAGATTTCTCAATCAAAAGTTATAGGCTACTCCAATTTCGAAAAAAAATTCAAAGGGCTGTAACTTTTGAACTAGTAGCCCAATCTTGGAACTGTTTGAAATTATGGATTCTACAGGCCACATTCTATAAGAAAATTTTTTTTTCGGGTCGATCTGAGACAATTTTTTTTCGGGGCTCAAAAAAGGCAGTGTATAACCTTCCTTTTTTACCAAAAATCGACAGCACCAAAATTTATCGGGAAAACACTTTTTCTTATTAATTTTGGTGCGTAGAATCCAAAACAATTCGTACTTTTTTGATCAGACTTCTCAATCAAAAGTTATAGTCCAAAAACCAATTTCGAAAGAAAATTCAAAGGGTTGAACTAGTAGCCCAATCTTGGAACTGTTTGAAATTATGGATTCTACAGGCCACATTCTATAAGAACATTTTTTTTCGAGTCGATCTGAGACAATTTTTTCTTCGAGGTTCAAAAAAAGGCAGTTTTTTAATGACAACATGGGTCATGCGGAAAGCGTCTTGTTTTCTTTCTAGTGATGTAAACATTTAACCTTTTTTTGGAAAATAAAAAAAGTAAATTTGTATTTTCCGATATAGCTAAAGGAACAAGGCTCTCCTATACTGAAATGGCTGAATTCGTTAAGAATTGCACTTTGGAGGATCTTAAAAGGACACTGTTTTTCGGAATGAAAAGGAAATTGAAATGACCCACATTGTTTTCCAACTAATCCTGGCGTCCCACTGCGAGCCGTGTGGGTTTCGGAGTCCTCGATCCATTGACTGGGACTGCTATGTGGCGAAACAGTCAGAGTTGTTGGATGGGTCACCTTTGCTCTGTAGGAAAGCAGGGCAGGTGGAAGAGGCGGCCTTCTTTGGTAACATAAAGGGTCTTCCTGAAGTTTAACAATTTCGTACGATCCTTATGAAGAACCCGGGGCAAAAGTGAAGCTTCCAAACGGCACATATACGTCTACTGCGGGTGAGGCTCTCACATTTCTTCTCCATAAGAGCCTGAACCCGCTGCTTTTACATTTGTTGTACCTCTGTGGACCTTCCCTGGTTTTAGGGTATATCCCCGAAGTCTGGTGAAAGGTACTTTAGCCGGCTCGTGCCAAATATGACACGGAGAAGGATTACAGGAGGGGGGGATAGTTCTGGAAGAGTCTAAGTAATTGCAATAAAATCAAATTGTTCCCAAAGTTTCAATTACGTAACACAAGTTTAAGTTTTGAAGATGTTGTCACGTCCTTGTGCTTCAAAGCAGAAATCCAGACGCTCCCGGAAAAAGGGGTTCGCGTTGCCTCGGAAGTTCTCGCACCACTTGCCTGATTTCCTGTTTCAATTCATCAAATGATCGCGGCTTGCTTATGTAGACTTTCAGTTTTGGGTACCACCACAAGAAAAAATTGCATGCAGTAGAGTTCGGGAAGCGGGGAGGTCAGGGAATGTCACCAAAACGCGAAATTAATTTACCTGGGAATAGTTGACGTAAAACATCCATTGAGGTTCGAGCTGTGGCTCCATCTTGTTGAAACAAAGTTCTCCTGAGACTGACACGCTTGATGTAAAATTTGAGAGCTCGTTGGGGACGCTAACAACTTTTGGCGAACCTGGATTTTGTAAGGGTGAAGCGATAAATCGTTTTTCAAGATTCGACGTACCGTTGGTTCATGCATTCTAAGAAATAAGCAGTGCGCAAAAACATCCTATATCGAAGCCGCGTTTAACAACACCACATTCGCTTCCATTGGTGAGGCTGCTGAAGGCTTTAGCATTAATGGGTCACTCGCAAGATAGATCTGTGCCATGCTCGGAAGTAGGGTCATTACAACTTCAATCGGGACGGCGCCGACGGGGATGAGCTCCTCGGTAACTAGAGGATGGTCGCAGGGTGGAGTGTAATCTCCAATGGTGTGGGGGCACTTCTGGGAATAGAGCATCTACACTTAGCTGTGGAGGCAGAAGCTCGGAAGGTTTCCATGCGGGTAAACGATTGGGACGAGTGGAAGGATCGAAGCAGACTTGGGCGCGGGCGGGTCTGAGAGAAAACCCTCAGATTTTATTCCCTCTTTGCAAGTAGGGATGTGATCCGTGCTGTCTTACTAAGACGAAAGAGTTATAAAGACACTCTCGCGGACAGGGGGCAATGGTGCCAATGGTGGAACTCACATCGCCAGTTCCTTAAACCTGAGAGGCTCGTGAGTGGTTTACAGGCGGAAAGGGGAAGGGTAAATATGGTAATCGACATCAGCGTCTCCCTTGGTCAGCATAGTACTTGTGTTTCAGGAAGAGATGTTACCCATCATGAGAGAACTTCCTTAGAGGCGTGCTACTAGTAAGTCGACTACTCCTAGACCTGAATAGAAGCCTGATTAGGGAGATCACCGGTGTCAGTCCTTCATCATTTTTTTATATTCGATAAAGCACTGGTTATCCAATCATTTATTCCAAAAAACGAAGAGAGCATTCATTTCGCCTTGTAAGTCCTTCCTGGTGCAATTAAGCTCCCATTCTTACCATCGAAAAAAACTCGCCCTGTATAACAAATTTGTGTACAGGCCATTATTAGGTGACCGCAGGTACGCACGCCACTGATTAATGAATATCGATAGAAACCAGTATCCATATGAGGTGCACTTCCTACGTGCTCGTGCGGAATGGACCGAACTTGAGCCAGTGGGAATAAATTACAGAAGTGAGTTACCACAAGAACCTTGAAATTGGAAATAGGTGATCACTGGTTTAAAAATTGTAAAGTTCAGTGTCCATATTGCGTGATATTTTGAGAAGAGGATTTTAAAACTGTTTTCAAAGTGACTATTTACGAAATAAATAGCGGTAAACAGTGTAAGTTCAAAGTTTTCCATTGTATTCAATTATAAATGACTCATTTTAATTACGTCCGAATTCAATTGGGATAAAAATAGTATACGACCTTGTTTTGTTTCGTTCTACATAACCTTATTTTTTTTAATAGACACAAAAATGTCACCGAGCGGGGCAGTTTATCAGCCCACGACGGTTACTTATGAAGCCAACGCATCGCCGCAAGAAAGATGGTCCGACAGACCTATAAGCTACTTAACATCATTCACCAGGACATCTGGTAACCCCTGTGGTTTGACGTGTGCCCCCATACATGATAACATCCCTACGCTATTCCTAGGAGCAGGGGCTATATGTGCGGTAATCGGTCTCATACTTCTAATCAACGGTGCCATTTTCTACTCAGATCCACAGACTATCGGCGAAGGCTTCTACTTAACCTGCACGATACTGGGTGCACTCATCTTTTGCGTGGGCGTCTTTCTCTTCGGTATGTAACCAAGAGCACTTCACCCAATAACTCATCGCTTTTAGGAATGTTTCTTCGTCAGTCACGAAGATTGTGCTGCCGTACGGGTAAAGACCCGCTCGATCCCGTTACCGGCCAAGCTCTCACAGTCAATCCGTCCACCGATCTACTGGTAGCGGCGCAGTACGCTCCCGTCTCTGAAGTCGCCTATCAACCTCCATCCGAAGACACCGAACAAAGTAAACTGATGCCGCAAGAGCACAAAGACGAAGATACCGACCGAATGATCGAGAGGGACCCGCGGATCGTGCTCAGTCCGCTGAATCCGACGACGCACGAGGACACCTAAGCGCCGAAGACCACTCGAACAGAAAAATCTCTATTTTTTTCATTGACTGTGTAAAGTTTAATGCTTCCAATGTTAGTGTAAGACGGAACGGTATTAGGTGCTTGCGAAACTGAGCTAGACATCGAATTGATGTTTTAACATTCCATTTTTTAATTTAGTTGGTTTTCTTCTATTACATAGAAGAATAATTTTAACTAGCGTTGCACCCTTTTTTTTCGCTTAAACGTGCATGGTTGGTGATCAGTTTGAATCTCATTGAAACAATTGACTTAATTGCAAGACTGTTCTTTTTTCCTTAATTTATTATAAACAATTTGTAGTTAGGATCACTTTGTATTTTAGTATCGAGAATCTCCGCATTTTTCGGTATTGTGCACACGTACACAACATTCCAAAATAGGGGAGGATATTTTAAGTAATTCCATCCAAATGTGCATAAGTATTAAGTAAAAGTCTGCACTGAATTGACACACTTTACAAATTGGCGTTATTGCACCGTTTTGTAAAATTATAGATTAGTTTTTTTATACAAACTTTAGGGATTCCAAACAAAATTCGATGTAGTCTTAAACTCACTGTGTTAGTTATACTAAGCACGTCTTAGTAGTTGTATGTTCTAAGTTAAAATAAAGTTGAGTTCCCATAATTTTTCTTCTCTTATTAATCAAGATCAATAAACTGACCTGTCCTTGAGCTATATCTAAAGGGGGTCACTGAAACTGTGATTATTGATATACAATTAATGAAAAACTTGTTTGTCTTCATACTCATTAGGATTAAAAAATAGGAACATTAATTTATGTTGTTTAGAGCTGTAGTATGGACACGGATAAAATTTCAACTGCAAAGAGTCTGGAACATAACTGCAATCTCCCACACCAGTATGGTAGGTGATAATGAGGTGGCAAGTACTGTGCAATGTTTACCCATAAATTCAGCAGAAGGGTACCTTTGACCCTTTCAAAATCCGCCGTAAGATTGCCCAAAGGAACTACAGTCTATATGTCATTCTAGCTCATGGCACTGCTTAAATTTTCATCTCTGTATAAGTCAGTCACCAGAACAGGTAAAATTTGTATTGAAAGGGGATCAATTCTCACATTCACAGTGCCCACGCACGGACCAAAACGGTGCTGAACAGGTGGAGAAATACGGCCAAAAGGGGGTGCGTACGCAAAATGCAATAGAACGACCATTTTTATAAGAAAACCAGGAGAGGGAAGTGAGGAGAGCCTCAACGAACAGATAGTGGTACTGAAAGAGGATACCAACAAGGCCTAAGTGTAGATAGTCAAGGCAAATTCCAAGAATATTGACATCTACCCCACAAAGGGGACCTTTGCGAATACAACTACGCACAGAGGGAAGGGTACAATACAATCAACGTGTAGGAGTCAACAAGGAAGCCACTCTAAGGGATAAAAAGCAAAACGGGCAACAGCAAGTCCATGATAAATGAATTAAGGAGAAGTTAGAGATGTAAGATCTACTACTGGCGCCCAAAAGACATGTTTTATAAGAGGGACAGATGGGATTTCAGGCACCGGGTAAAAGATTGCAAGAAAGACAGAACGAAGGCATGCCGAGTGGTACGAATGGTTCTAGAACAATTCGCGTCATAATTCTCAGAAAGATTACTTCACATCCACCTTCGTTCTTTATCGCCGACGACTAATCTATCTAACGGTTCCAGGTAGGGGCCAAAAGAGAGAGGAGAGAGTCTATAACAAGGTTCCAAAGTTTGGGAGGTTTTGCCACATCCGTCTATTCCTTCGACGACGATAAAGGCTCCGGCTTAAGGCATGCAAAATTAAATTGTACCTATTATCATTGAATTTATAACTAAATTCAATGCTATTATTTAAATATATTCGAATAAAATATTGCCAGACATCTAACGGTATACAATGGAATCACGTCCACTAAAACCAGGTTCTATTTAGCATTTCCTAGCACAGAGGTCGCGACGTGAATTACTGATTTTTAAAGACCTTTTTTTCTTATCCTCCATTTCATATTCTCCTAATACTAGGGCTTGAAAGTTTATGCTTCATATATAAAAAAACCTTAACGTGCTTCGGCAGGTTGCCTATACTCTGTCAATCAAGTAATGCATACGCAAACAATGGTAAATTTGTTTCTAAATTAACATTGACGCCTAATATTGATGGAAAACGGAGCTTAAATATTCTTAGTTTCAGTTTTATCATTGAATAATGAAACCTTAATTTTGCACATAAGACTTCTCAATAAAAAGTAATGGACTAGAAACCAATTTCGAAAGAAAATTCAAAGGGCTGTAACTTTTGAACTAGTAGCCCAATCTTGGAACTGTTGGAAATTATGGATTCTACAGGCCACATTCTATAAGAAAATTTTTTTTCCGGGTCGATCTGAGACAATTTTTTTTTCGGGGCTCAAAAAAAGGCAGTATATAACCTTCCTTTTTTACCAAAAATCGACTGCACCAAAATTTCTCGGGAAAACACTTTTTCTTATTAATTTTGGTGCGTAGAATCCAAAACAATTCGTACTTTTTCGATCAGACTTCTCAATCAAAAGTTATAGACTAGAAACCAATTTCGAAAGAAAATTCAAAGGGCTGTAACTTTTGAACTAGTAGCCCAATCTTGGAACTGTTTGAAATTATGGATTCTACAGGCCACATTCTATAAGAAAATTTTTTTTCCGGGTCGATCTGAGACAATTTTTTTCTCGGGGCTCAAAAAAAGGCAGTGTATAACCTTCCTTTTTTACCAAAAATCGACTGCACCAAAATTTCTCGGGAAAACACTTTTTCTTATTAATTTTGGTGCGTAGAATCCAAAACAATTCGTACTTTTTCGATCAGACTTCTCAATCAAAAGTTATGGACTAGAAACCAATTCCAAAAAAAATTCAAAGGGCTGTAACTTTTGAACTAGTAGCCCAATCTTGGAACTGTTTGAAATTATGGATTCTACAGGCCACATTCTATAAGAAAATTTTTTCCGGGTCGATCTGAGACAATTTTTTTTTCGGGGCTCAAAAAAAGGCAGTGTATAACCTTCCTTTTTTACCAAAAATCGACTACACCAAAATTTCTCGGGAAAACACTTTTTCTTATTAATTTTGGTGCGTAGAATCCAAAACAATTCGTACTTTTTCGATCAGACTTCTCAATCAAAAGTTATAGACTAGAAACCAATTTCGAAAGAAAATTCAAAGGGCTGTAACTTTTGAACTAGTAGCCCAATCTTAGAACTGTTTGAAATTATGGATTCTACAGGCCACATTCTATAAGAACATTTTTTTTCCGGGTCGATCTGAGACAATTTTTTTTTCGGGGCTCAAAAAAAGGCAGTGTATAACCTTCCTTTTTTACCAAAAATCGACTGCACCAAAATTTCTCGGGAAAACACTTTTTCTTATTAATTTTGGTGCGTAGAATCCAAAACAATTCGTACTTTTTCGATCAGACTTCTCAATCAAAAGTTATAGACTAGAAACCAATTTCGAAAGAAAATTCAAAGGGCTGTAACTTTTGAACTAGTAGCCCAATCTTGGAACTGTTTGAAATTATGGATTCTACAGGCCACATTCTATAAGAAAATTTTTTTCCCGGGTCGATCTGAGACAATTTTTTTTCGAGGCCTCAAAAAAAGGCAGTGTATAACCTTCCTTTTTTACCAAAAATCGACTGCACCAAAATTTCTCGGGAAAACACTTTTTCTTATTAATTTTGGTGCGTAGAATCCAAAACAATTCGTACTTTTTCGATCAGACTTCTCAATCAAAAGTTATAGACTAGAAACCAATTTCGAAAGAAAATTCAAAGGGCTGTAACTTTTGAACTAGTAGCCCAATCTTGGAACTGTTTGAAATTATGGATTCTACAGGCCACATTCTATAAGAAAATTTTTTTTCCGGGTCGATCTGAGACAATTTTTTTTTCGTGCCTCAAAAAAAGGCAGTGTATAACCTTCCTTTTTCCCAAAAATCGACTACCCCAAAATTTCTCGGGAAAACACTTTTTCTTATTAATTTTGGTGCGTAGAATCCAAAACAATTCGTACTTTTTCGATCAGACTTCTCAATCAAAAGTTATAGACAAACCAATTTCGAAAAAAAATTCAAAGGGCTGTAACTTTTGAACTAGTAGCCCAATCTTGGAACTGTTTGAAATTATGGATTCTACAGGCCACATTCTATAAGAAAAATTTTTTTCCGGGTCGATCTGAGACAATTTTTTTTTCGGGGCTCAAAAAAAGGCAGTGTATAACCTTCCTTTTTTACCAAAAATCGACTACACCAAAATTTCTCGGGAAAACACTTTTTCTTATTAATTTGGGTGCGTAGAATCCAAATCAATTCGTACTTTTTCGATCAGACTTCTCAATCAAAAGTTATAGACTAGAAACCAATTTCGAAAGAAAATTCAAAGGGCTGTAACTTTTGAACTAGTAGCCCAATCTTGGAACTGTTTGAAATTATGGATTCTAAGGCCACATTCTATAAAAAATTTTATTTTCCGGGTCGATCTGAGACAATTTTTTTTCGGGCCTCAAAAAAAGGCAGTGTATAACCTTCCTTTTTTACCAAAAATCGACTGCACCAAAATTTCTCGGGAAAACACTTTTTCTTATTAATTTTGGTGCGTAGAATCCAAAACAATTCGTACTTTTTCGATCAGACTTCTCAATCAAAAGTTATAGACTAGAAACCAATTTCGAAAAAAAATTCAAAAGGCTGTAGCCTTTGAACTAGTAGCCCAATCTTGGAACTGTTTGAAATTATGGATTCTACTGGCCATATTCTATAAGAAAATTTTTTTTCCGGGTCGATCTGAGACAATTTTTTTTCGGAGCTCAAAAAAAGGCAATGTATAACCTTCTTTTTTTACCAAAAATCGACTACACCAAAATTTCTCGGGTAAACAATTTTTCTTATTAATTTTGGGGCGTAGAATCCAAAACAATTCGTACTTTTTCGATCAGACTTCTGACTTCCTCAACAGTAAAACGTTTGGGCTTCATATTCCCTGATGCATAGGCAACAAACCGTACCTGCCGTCCGAAAAACGCCATGTTTATTTTGCTATTCATAAGTTTAGAACAAAAATCTCAAATCATAAGAATAGGAGAACATAAAGCTTATGAGGTATCTTGGCATGTCTTGATTAATGTGGCGTCCCCTATGCCAAATCTCGCGAACTGAAACATGATTATTATGTAGTTGCTTGTATTTAGTTTTACTAGTAAATACTCTTAATACATTGTATTACCATTAGATGTCAGTATAGATTAAGTTTAAAAAATAATGCCTTTTCATTCTTTAGAGATTAGCTATTGAAAATTTTACAATAGACGTACAACAGCTTTCGTTTCGTCTACTTTGTACAAAGTCCTTTCATTATAAATTAATGTCAACAGAGCTTACTTTACGATCCTTCCAGAACATGTCTACCCACTCTGTAGCTTTGAGTATAATCAAAGGTCTTTAGGCTTTTCCAGGACTGTTCTCTAGGGGGTGCAGGGAAGGTTTTTGAGGGATTTCTACAGGAATATAAAGCTCCACGAGACTTTCAAAAGTCTTAATTCTAGTATTGTTCCAAAGAGCTTTTGAAACCCTTTGCAGAATTCCTTAAAGACCTAACGAGAGCTTTCAATGCGCTTTTCAAAGGAACATTTAGGTCGTTTTCTTGTGATCTTTAGGCCCTTATTAGAGTTTTGTAGACCCATATCAATGCTAGTCCCTTTTGGCGCACCTGTTATACGATGTAGGGTGTTCAATGGTGTCTAGCACTTTTTCACAGTTGTAGGCATTACTTCTTAATTCCGGGAAATCCTGTGTTAATACTGACGTACGCAATCAATCTTTAGCCACTGCCGGCCCATGTGGCGCAGTTCAGTTAAAGCTGGATTGTGGTGCTAGGGGTCCCTGGTTCGAATCCGGGTTTGGGCATGGATATTTGTAAATGTATAGTGAGTTGGGTTGGTAGAACAGCCTTGGCTGAAACCCCGCCTAATTAAAAATAAAGGCAAAATAAAATTATGAACAAATGTATGAAAGTGTCCGAGAAAAAATATTCAAGTATTTTATTAATTATGTCATATTTGAGGTAGAAAAATATAAATAATAGAAGAGCAAAACTTTGCTTAAAATTATCGACACTACACATTAGTAGGAAAATAAATACTTTAGCAATTGTACTGTATATCTATAGTAGGTGATACTTATTTACAAAGCACTAATTTAAGTCCTTTCGTCTCCACCACGGGATACCTTGCTGATCGTTATTTGTTAGACGTTGCAACGCTGGATTTCTGCAACATAAAAGATGGAATGAATCAGAAATGCGCGATTGGAATCTCTACCTGTCATTTATCAACGGCTGCTGTTGCAAAACGACAGGTCTCGTGTGTATGGTTTCCAGCGGAATTGTAGATCTTTTCGCGTTTTTTAGGGCCTTCTTTCGTTTTTGCACGTTGTAACGGGCACTGCACTGAATGGCCAGCAGAAGCGCGCTGACCATTGAAAGCAACGCTCCTATGTACACCAAAACTTGTAAATTTCTGGCCGCTGACTTTCGTAGTACCGCACCGGCGATCGAAAGAGAAGTCCCGATCAAAATTCCCATGGTAAAGGCGACCTAAGGCAAAATGAAATGTTGGGCCTGCAAAACAGCCGGGTTACTCACTTGTAGGAAATAATAGCAAATGTTTTCGAATGTTTGGCAATGTCCTCCGCAACCGTCCACCACAGTACTGGTTACACCAGAACTGAGGGAGCTTTGTGGCCGATCTGATATTCGTGACGTTGGCAAACGGATCGGTAAGTTTAACGAAACGCCACCGGCAGGCCTAAAAGAACACTTTATCGATTGATTTCACCCTCACTAGGCTTACCTCTGCAAGCTGGACTGGTTTGGGTACACTTTTCTCGAGTTGCACTTCTCCCTGTGCGCTGTTTTCTTAACGACGCCTGCAGGATCGTGAAAATTGTGCCTAGAAAAGCGCTTTGGTAACGTCTCGCCGCACTCGTAGTACGATAACTGATTATCACTGTCCGAAAACATGCAGTCACTATTTTTTGGTTCGTTTTTACACGTATACTGGTAACCGAAATGGTGGTGGTCGTAGTAAGTGTTCGTATCACTACAGGTCTCGTCACTCACGCCCGTGTCGTAGGTCGCTATCTTATTGCAAAGTCCTCCGGTACGATAGGAACCAGTGCAAAGGTTTTTGAAGTTCTCCGTGTTGACGTGTGCCGCATTTTGGTGGTTGTAGGTGTGAGGAACTGGTAGAGTTGTCGTTAATGTAGTTGTCTAGAAAAAACAGTACCTATTATCTACAGTGGGCGCATAATGTTTTCAAAACAAGATTTTGTGATTTAGACAAAATTTTCTGACCATTTTCATGTCTACTTTTAAATGACAAAATCTCTTGTAAAGCGCCTAATTTTATGCAAGCAAAATAGCTTCTTAAAACAAATAAAGATCTGGCTGTCATATTACTTAATTTGAACACTCTTGCTTTGACTTCACAGAAAATAAATCTCTTGCGCTCCTTAAACTGTTACCGACACTATACCAATTGACAATATCAACTTTTTATTCAGTTGAATTCATCGCACACCAACAAAAATAAATAAATAAATAAATAAATAAATATTCAAATTAATTAGTATGACAGCCAAAGCTTTATTGGTTTTAAGAAGTTATTTTGGTTGCATAAAATTAGGCGCTCTTCAGGAGAGATTTTGTCATTTAAAAGTAGACATAGGGAGAAACAATACACGTAAACGCTATGTCTACTTCTTAATAAATATCCCTGTATTACATTACTATTTATATGATGTTGTAATGCCACTTTGCCCCCACTTTTTTTACGGAAAGACACGTTTGAAGTATCAGGAATCCGAATCAAACAAAATCTCGACGATTGGAACCAAATTTGGTACACATATGCAAAATCGCACATGCGCTAAGTATGTCAAAGTAACAAAAAATACCTACATATAGTCAAAATTGCAACAAAGATCATAATTTACTGATTTAATAATAATAATAATAATGGGAAGATTTCATAAATAATGGTGACCGCGCTATTATCTTTGCTATTTGTCTAATTACACATAATAACGGGCGGCTTATTTGTCAGTAGGTACATTAACGTTATCGGTAATAGTTTGCGAGTGGTATCTGTGCTAACTACAGCAATACTCATTACTCAAGTTTCTTGCACTAGTCCGCAGCTAAATAGAAGAGGGTGATCGATGAGAAGGTAGGTAAGTACTTATATACCTATTTAAAGCTGCATTAGTATTGGGTATTCACAGAGACCTTCTTTTAGTAATTGGAAAGGAAATGCGAAACTTTTTAAATGTTTAAATCGATGTTTAAATTCCATTAGTCAATTCCTCATTTACTTGCTCACTAATTGGATACACCTATTTGTATAGGCTACATTGTATCAAATCAGTGATTAAGTACATGAGTAAGATATACATACATAAAATAAGATTGAGTAACAGAAAATTGATAAATGGCATTTAAACATTTAAAAAGGCGAAGCACAAAGAGTATCCCAGTAGGTACTAAATAGGACAGGATTGTTAAATGTCGTAAAATTAAGGAATCATTTTATTGACTTGCTTTATGTTCATAGCTCAGTAGTAAACTTTTAATTATCGCTAGGTATTACGATGCTGTTTAAAACCATTCCAGTTTTGTAGAGTTCTGCCACTTTTGTACTGTTCCTCTAGCCACACGTCGCATAATACTCAATCGTAAAATGATAATTTTTATTAATTTATGATAGGCTAATTGTAAAAGTGAATTGGTGTAGATTAGATCTTCTGAATTAAGGCTTTAATCTACAAAATAAATCTATTTGATACTTTGGGGGATGGCAACTTCGTCCAGAGGGGGTTCTACAATAGTGTTCTTTCTAGCTTCAGATTCTTATACGATTAGGACTCGGCTTAGGAGTACCATGTTTCACTTTCAGAAACAGCACCTCAGTGAATAATTCATGGAGGAGCCCTTCCTTAAGACAACAAAATTTGAAGACCATCTAGCACATCTTCGAGGTGGGCTACCTATTGCAAAAAAATTCGGGATTCTAGGACTCCTAAAAGTAGTTCAAAACCGTAGAAGTGGGGTGTGGGGTCCGGACAGGCGGACGGCCAACACGCAAATAATAGCACATTTTTTCTTCTTTCATTTTAAAAATGCGCTAAAGTTTCGCTACATACTAATGTCTGGGCGCCATCTCCGAGCGTGGTTTATTGAAGTGGTGATTTTTCAGTTTTTTCTTATCTTCTTCTACAGTTTTGGTCCGATTATTTTCAATCTGGTGTGTGGTGTCGTCGAAAAGATCTTGTCAATGCGTGACGGAATTTTGTATGCTTTCCTATGGACGAAATTAACAATTTTTCTTCCATTTCAGTTTAAAGCTTTTTTAAAGCCTCTCTCTCTTGTGTCGCCAATAGAAACTGGGTACTATTTTGTGGAGGGTTTTAGCGAAATCCACCAATATGGCAAATTTATGTGATTGTAGGAATGTGATAGCCTCCGACAAGATCTGACTGATAGTAGAAGTGGAAAGTAAAAGTGGCTTCAATTTAACTGGAAGCACTAGAATATTTGGCCTATGAACTAATACTCTCTCGGATATCCTCATGGTATTGGTATTAGTCCGGGGAATAGAGACTGAAAATGGACCATTTCCTGCAAAACGAGAAGTAGTTACAATTTTTTTTGCATGTCATGTAGGAATATCTGGTGGTTAAGAATCCAAGTTTTCGACCTCCCACCCCTTGTGCTTCCCTCGTACCACCCCTAAAACCAAAGAAATTTGGTTGGTTTTTTAGTTTTTCAATCATATCTTTTTATAGGTTCACTTTACACAAAAATATTGTTATTAGAAATTGTAGAACATTAAATTTTACATAAATTTGTCATATACTTTTTTTTTTGTAAATTTTTTATTTCAAAAGATACAGAGTTTCAAAATTGTTTTTATTTTGAAGTTACCGAAATTTCTAAGTATGTTCATATTTTAACGAAATTGTATGTTATCTCTATAATCATAAGATTTATATGAGAAAATAACTCGATTATGAAGCAATGGTGCTATTAATTTCGGTACCCTGCACCCCTATCAAAGGGGATGATAGCGCTTCAACACCTTGGTCGTAGTAGGTATTTGAATCACTGTGTGATTATGGCGCTTTCGAATACAATTATCAAAAAGAAAAGTGGTCTTACTTCATTTTAACCCCTTTCATCTCTTACAAAAAGGGTTGATTACTTCAATCCCCTATAGTAGTTTCGAACACAACATACAAATCATTATTTTATATGAACATGAATAGTAAACATTTTTTATTTGCAATGTGTATTCGGAAATGTCATTATCTAAGTTTGATCGAGCAATCAACAACCGAGGATTAAACCACTCATTTCAGTTGGGGGTGGAAAGGGTTAAACATGATCTAGAATATTAGAAAATATAAGTAATAAGCGTTAAGTATACTTACTCTCTGACTAACATCAATCGCCATAAGGGGTTGAAATATTCATTCCTTCCGGGGGGAGGGGGGGGGGGGAGAGAAGCTGAACTGAAGTGAGACAATGTTTTTTATTTTTTATTAGAAAGCGCTACAATGTCACAGTGATTCAAATATCCCCAATAGCAAGGTTTGAAAGTTGAGATATTATGCATCCCCTTTGGTAAAGGTGCAGGGTAGGGAGATTTATATCACGATAAATTCAAGATATTTTCTCATAAAACTCTTAATTATAGAGATAAAGATTAAATTTTGGTTAAAACATCTACATAGAAATTTCAGAATTCTTCAAAATATAAGCAACTTTGAAGCTCTATATCTTTTTTATTAAACATTTCACAAAAAAAGTAATGTATATCATTGTGTAGAATTCTATGGTCTACAATTTATGATAACAATATTTGTTTGTAAAGTGAACCTATAAAAAGATATGATTGAAAAACTAAGAAACCATCCAAATTTCAAGGGTTTTGGGGGTGGTACGGGGGAAGCACAAAGGGTGGAAGGTCGAAAACTTAGATTCGCTTAACCACCAGATGACTGTCTATGACATGCAAAAGAAACTACTACTTCTCATTTTGCAAGTTAAAACCCTCTATTCCCTGGACTATACAGAGTGGCCCAACGAGAAGTATACAGAGGGCTTTTAGGTTATTAAATTTAGAAATTTCGAAAAATCCTCGAACACGTCAATTTTGTATTCGAGGGGGACAACTTTTGGAATACAAATCACGAACCCAAGTCTTCACCCCTCTACGTAGGGAGCTTAACCCCTAGAATTTTAAATGGAATCCTATGGCAAATTGCACGTTATTTGAAAGCCAATTTAATCGTGATTATTAGTCTGCTTTGCTTTTTAAATTCTATTGATTCGTTTCGGAGATATTTGCATTTGAAATGGTTTTTTTCTAAAAAAAACCAAAACAAATGCGATCTAAGTCACCTTGTATTAAAAAAGGTTTAAATTGTGCAAAAAATAACAAATAACTTTAAACACACAACATTTATTTTAATAAATGCTCGAATTGCCTTCCGCCTGCTTCCATGCAATAATAAAGATTTGCTTCAAAACACTGCGCCGTACATGTTGCAAGATTTCAGGGGTAATCGCTGGAAATTGTTGAGTTATACCATAGTGTATTCTATTCTTACACTATGGTTATACGTGCTCGCAACCCTCCGGGCGGAGTAGCATAAACTTTATTCTTTAAATATCCCCACAAGAAGCAATCTAAAGGACTTAAATCAGGGGAAAAAACCATTTCAAATGCGAATATCTCCGAAACGAATCAATAGAATTTAAAAACCAAAGCAGATTAGTAATCACGATTAAATGGGCTTTCAAATAATGTGCCATTTGCCATAGGATTCCATTTAAAATTTTAGGGGTTAAGCTCCCTACGTAGAGGGGTGAAGACTTGGGTTCGTGATTTGTATTCCAAAAGTTGTCCCCCTCGAGTACAAAATTGACGTGTTCGAGGATTTTTCGAAATTTCTAAATTTAATACCCTAAAAGCCCTCTGTATACTTCTCGTTGGGCCACTCTGTATAGCTAGTATGCCTAGGGACCCCGCATATAAGAGAAGTTATACTCTAGCAGCAGCTCAAGAGCCATTACAAGTTTTGGAGTGGCTATTCAACTTAATTCTATCCAAAAATTCCTCTCGACTAATGAAAATGTGAATAACTAGTGCGGGAAAGCTTACACTAAAGACGTCGAATGACAAAGGTGCTGCATCAACCTTCAACAGTAATAGTAATTGCTTTTCGAACAAAAGTATACAATTAAATACTCAAGGTAGTAGACCTCTTCTTTTAACGATGGCCAGGTACCGAAAATTATTCGATTTACCTGATAATGACAATTGTGAGATTTTGCAACGCAAATAAATAGTTACCGGTCAATGCATTTTGAAAGTAGTTACCACAAATATCCGTATATGATGCAATTTTATCAATAGTGCCATTGAAATAGTGTTTTTCGCTACGTGAATAAGTTAGACAGGCAAATTAACATACAGAACGAAATAGAGCATTAACGAATATGCCTACTTTCACGCTGGGGATTAGTACATTACCTGGTAGTGATTATCTCTAGCGGGTTGATATGAGGGTGGTCTCTGCGATGAGGGCAAACGACGCGACATCAGTCTTCTCGCTCAGCATCTCTGCAAAACTGCAAAAGAGAAAACAATGCGTTAACGACCTGATGCCTCAGGTAGAGGTATAAAATATTGAGTTCAAGACCAATTGTCGATTTCCTTCGCTTTTCGGTTAAATAAACGGTTAAATTTAGAAATAATTATTGTAATGCTCGTTAAATGCAAAAAAATCACGAAGAGATAATTAAGCAAGTTACCACCATGTAGTGCTCTCTTCCTGCCATTCTAACGCTACAACCGAAAGGTGAACTTGATGCGATTTTTGTTTTAATACAATCAACTTTACAGGTGTAATTCGTCTAATTGCAACACGTTACATGCTAATTGTCTTAACAGATTGTTAGTGCATAAAAGACAGGCTGATTAAGAGTTACAGTTCTTGGGTGAGTGAGGTGCGGTGTGCAAGGTAAACTTTTAAGAAAAGTCTAGGTAAGGAAACGCTTTTGTTATTGCACAATGATCAGAAATGCCAATTGATGATGTTTCAAGACATACCTTCCATTCTCTATCACATTACTTTCAGTTTAGTACCTACTAGTACAAAGATTCATATAAACTCAAACAAGAAACGAATAAAAATCACTTTCCGTGAGAGTTTTGATTTTGCTAATATCTGTTCAAGGGTTTCTAAAGCAATCAGTGGAAAATTGGCACATTTCTCTTACAATTGAAGCATCTGAATCCAGGCTTCTGTCATAAAAAACGATGATTTGTTACAGGCTGACCGAAAAGCTTTCATGGGAGATCTTGGGGTATTTCTCAAGAGGCTTTGTTACATGAGACAAATTGTATAATTTCTTAGCACTCTAGTACCTACACAGTCAAATTCATCGCAGCAGAGTTTGTTAATCTTCCCTTATTTTTATTATCCAGCAGGTCCGGCAGTCAAAGTGAGAAAAGTGAAAATCTATTAGCTTTAGTTCTGTCATCAACTGTTTTTCCTAAAGAAAGTCTCTGTAACTACAGTCAGCGCAATGGTAATAACGGATGGGGCTCATATTAAATTTTTAAGCTGTGTCTCCAACAAATTCCCCACGCATTTTGCAACAATAGGTACCTCTGAATGACAAAGCATTAGTATAAACCAATTTTAAGTTTTGTTTCTTGTGTAAATTTCGAAAGACCCCTTTTAATGAAACAACGTTCGCTCCTAATTTATTACTCAAGAGTAATTGTATAACATGCATACATTAACACACACTTACACAGTAAATAGAAAGTAACTAACTATAGCTGTTCACACGGACCATTTGAAACTAAACTGTTTTATGTGTATCAAAAAATTAAGTGCGACAACGCGAGAGGAAAAAATTTGATGAGTGTGACAGAAGGAAGTAATCAATTCAAGAACTGTCAGGCATGTGTGGGGGGTTATTTTCGAATGCCATTCCCGCGTTTCATTGTTTTTCTACAAAACGACTTCAGCTGCGGCCTTAATTGCATTACAGGAAGCATTCCGACACGTAGAGAAAAAGTCTTACGTAATGTTAGGCGAGCTAACTGTTTGTCAAGCGCCAATCATTCTTCTTCGGTCGACGATTAGATTTTTGAGTGTAGGTATTTTCGAAAAATGCAAATTCGTTCAGGTAGACAGCTGGGCCTGTACGTTTTCAGCTTTAATTAGTAACAATTACCAACCTGCAACACTTTTCCTCGATAAACCGTTCGGGCTCAAACGCCAGTTGAAAATTGGCGTATTTCGGCTGTCTCCACAAAACATAGTTTTTTCGCACTAAAACCCTAAATTAATATTAAGCGTTGTCAATAAGTGAATTCCTTGCATTTACCTAATAGTATTTGAATTTTATATGTAAGGGTGGTTTTTTCTCATTTTCATAACGTTCAAGGTGTTTATTGTAGTCCAGAATTGTATGAAAAGTTAATTTCTAACGAACAACAGTATATCATATTATTATATTATTTATAATATATAATACTTATACTGTGCTATCTAAAATTATTCCCACTCTCTTCCAAACCAGATAAAGAAATCACAAAACCCTACCGTAGCATGTTTGGATAATTATTGTTGAATTTGGGAAAGTGGCGGTGTGGTCATTATTAATTCAAAAAATTCAAATGGCAAAAGGGGCATATTGATTTCCTATTCAACGGCATTATCCCTCTTGCTCCGGTGTTCTGAAGAATCACTTACTCCTCGGAGTGGGGTAAAGCAGGTTACCCCAGCTAAAATTTGTCTGCTAACAACTGAACCCGATTTATTTCTTTTCTGTTTACTTGTTAACCAGCGACAAAAAGCGAGTTCATGATTTTGGACTGTCCGTCCGTCCATCTGTGTAACTTTGTGCGCTTGTGTATGTTATTATTATTATTATTATTATTATTTATTAAAAACTGTACATTTTCCAACTACTTACAGATACCTTTGCCTACATACGAGTACATAAAAACCAAAATTTGTTGCATAAGTATTTTGATTATCCTATATAAATCAGTCTATGTCCTCCGCTACACAGAGCTCTCTGTCCTCGCCCAAATTGCACAAAACACCACCCGCGCACCACTTCAAGACAAAAATGTTTACATCACCATCTGTTAGATGCCATCGGTACTCGGTTAGGATTCTGTTTTTTAATCGCGTTTTATAATTTTTTAAATATCGCGGAACCACATTGTTTTTTGTGTAAACTATATATTGTTTGTATATAGTACTTATGGCTAACACTATCAAAAAGTTTGCTAAATTAAATTCTGGATTGTTGTTTCTGTTTTTGAAAAGTCTATACATATCACTTGGCATTGCTGATTGTCTATTTAATAATTTGCACACTAGTGTTTTGACTTGTTTCCACAGTTCATCTGTTAAATTACACTCTACTATTAAGTGCCATGCTGTACCGTCCTCGTTGCACCATAAACAGTTTTTATCTGTAGTTACACCAATTTTGTTAAGAAAAATCATGTCGGCCAGTCTGTTTTTTGCGAATCGCCATGAGGTGACAGCATCGATTCCGAGTGATGGATTTTTAAACATTTCACTCCAACATATTTCCTTTTCGTCCCAGTTCCCTTTAAGTTTTTCGGTTTTCCCAGATCCTTCATTCAATTGCATTTCGTACAACAGTATTCTCGTCTTGGAATTGAATGTGTATGGGAGGAGGGCCTCGAGACTGCAAACGTAGGTACACGGGGACGTAATGGGCCTTGGCTCATCTGTGAAGGAGTGGGAGAGTTTTATACCAGACGGAACAGTTATAAAATCTTTTGAGGAGACCGGTAGACAATGAAAAGTACGGATTTATATTTGCACAGAATAATAATAAAATAATAATAAATGATGAGTATTTGCGGATACAGCCGAAATACGCCAATTTTCAACTGGCGCTCGAGCCCGAACGGTTCATCGAGGAAAAAAACTAAATAGTGGGGTCTTTAGGAAATTTTAAGTACTTTCATTTTGAATAGGAAGGTTATTTTCTAAAAATTGATAGTTTTCAAGTTGTAAGCACAAAACTGCCAAAAAATATCTTTTTCAACTTCTTTTGTATTTTTTTCAATGTTGCGTCATGAAATTTTGTTGGCAAACCTCAGATTCGGATTCAGCACCCCAAAAAACATATAGAATCAAAGAAATCAAAACTACCCCACAACTTTCCCGCTAGATGCCCGTTTGAGCACAAATGGCCTGTATTATTGCGCTTGCACTTGAAAATAGCACAATTATTTAGTTCTTTTGTAACATCGCACTTATTTTTTGAAATACCGAAAATTTTTCTGTAAAAACGTCAACTTGTTTAACTCGAAAACGGTGCAATACATAAAACACGTAATTTAATGTAAAATTCGATTACAAATCATAAAAAAATAAAAAACAGAAGTTACTTGCAATCGAATTTTACATTAGAAGCTCGATTAGAAGGCTCGTATTTACCTAGGTTTTTGGACATGTTCCTTTTTTTGGTTAAAAATCCTACCTCAAAAAGAGTGCCCCCTAAAGAAGGGTACGAAAAATATTCTGATTTGGTATCTGGGGGTTTTTTAAAATCTAAAAAAAGTTCCAGCGCTGCATTTGGAGCTCAAAATTGGTCAGCCCCGTCCGGCTTCAGCTGAATAATTATGAAATGACTTTCGCCAATAAGTAGGGTAGACCAACTGAAGCCGGATGAGTCTCGTAGGTACCACATATCTTCGAATTAGGATTTTTAAATCGGAAGGGCTATACGTAAAAGCCTAGCCAAGTCCGTTAATTCCATTCTGCTATGTTCTGGATTCTGGATTACGATAGCAGGGTGGACAGGGTCCACGCGTACCTAGTCCTCAAATTCGGGCCCTCCATGACTAGAGTCATTCAACCCCTCTACGTCACTCAAGCCATAGGGCAGGACACCCTCAACATGGATCGTCTCTGTTGGACTAGAGCGGGATTTATTTATTGCAGTGCATGTGTTTGTTTAGTCTAACTTATGAAAACTACAATGGATATTATTTTTACTTGACTTGCATCTTGCATCTGAACCTTTGGCAATAACAATGACTTTTATAGGGCAAAATATTGACAGCCGTTACGCGAAGTAATTCAAAAGAATGAAATATGAGACCATCACTTCTTGTCGATCATAAATCATAATAGATTTTCCTTCTTTACCGCTGTAGTAGCAGCCGAGGAGTGATTTTAGGGCACAATCAATCTAGTTCTCAGTTCTCACGAGTGTCTGTTCCGTAAATCTTTTATTAATTAATTAAACTTTCTAAAAGAAGTAGTAAAAGATCTATATGAGCATTGTTTTAATATAGAAATTTTATGAATCCCTGCCGGTGTTTGTATTGATCATGGTGGTTTTCAATAACTCTGGGACGAATCCCATCTTTTATTCCCATCAAAACCGTGTATCTTATTCACGTAAGGGATCAACTTGCTTGAAAAATGTCCATATCTTCCCAAATTTCGTTTAGAGGGTTAGGTGAGAAATCCGCTTTACCTAGACACCAAAGTCGGAATCTTTAATTTTGATAAAACTCAAATTCTCATCAAATCCAGGTCCAACGTACTTTGATGGAAAAACGACCAACTGTAGTAACTCTAATGTTCACGAGTGACTTTTAACCTCCGTTATCTTAAACTGTATGTGAACCAAGAGATCCAACTCCTTATCTTTGATCCAAACCGTTATTCTGTGCCCAAGAATTGAATATGTCCAGCTTCGAGCACTTGTGAAAGGGTGGAAATGCAAAACCAAATGGAGATAATTCCATATTTGTCCGTAACACTTCCACGAGGCCAATTAACGTACCTCGTCGACCACGAAATAAATTTCAACAGGCTTCAGATGACAGCTACTAAATCGCTACATCGCCTTTTAAAAATACCATACGTTCCCAGTAATTTATTAAAGCAGAAAATAGTAATGAAGAATGTATAGGACTAAATTACATTAGTTGAATGAAGTGTTAAACTGCTATTTATTACCTGCTTAGTCACCTACTCGATCTCGTTATAAATAACTTTTAAAATTGAACTCAACACCAGGCGTGACTTGTTCTATAAATTTATTAAAGACAAAACAAAAGAACGCGGGGCCGGGATCGTTTTCTCGCTTTTCAAACTGTAGCAGTACTAAACGGGTAGGTATAAAACAAAAAATTAAAAAATGCGGTACCCAAAAAAGGCACCGCCTAAGAAATTTATTCAAATAACAACAGGAGATTTACCTTTTCCGATAAGCCGGCTGCTGGTCCGGGATCATAAAGTTTCCCACTTTTCTAGAGCACTAATTGTCATATTTCACCCAATCTGTAATTACGCACTGGTCCGCTAACAATTAAACACTTTAATCGGCGGGGGAAAACGCGTAACTATTCAAGTGTGCACTTACTGTCGTAGGTGGCCATGCAATGTGATTACCGCTACAAACAGTTGACTAAACCAGCTTCTTCTCTAGCCGTTCCTCTCTTTCGGTACGGGGGTCTAGTTCTGGCCCATCTGGCAGCAGTGCCGTTCGTCGATTACACCCGCAACGTGCACTTCTTAGCGTATTATACCGTTGACAGGGGTTGCAAACTCAATTTTCTTCGGTTTGCGTCAATTAAAAAATCGAGGGCCATTACTGATTGAATGGCAGGAATATTTGGCGCGCAATTTGAAAATTCAAATTTTCGCGCGCCGCTGTTAATTTAAAATGCTAACAAGCATCTTTCATCTGCGTCAGCCCCTCTCGCTCTCCTTGTTAAGTGGTCTTATCTTTCATCTCGCTCTTGAACCTGAACATTCCGTGCCATGGACCTGCCAAACGGTCGTGTAAACAAACAATTACTTCCTTTGGTTTTCCTTCTACCTGCACCACCTCCGTCCCTCTTTATCCTTTCCAAACGACTCGTGAACGTAATGCAAATAAATTTTAAGGCGGCGATCTCTCCTAGTTATTAATTTTTTGGTCGTTTGTTTACTTAACGTCCTTAACAAGGGAAGATTTTTTCTTTTTATTTATTTTATAATATTAATTTATACGTCGGGAGACCTCGAGATGGGTTTGAGTTAAGAAGATAATTATTACTTGTGGATATTGAACAATGCAATTTTTATTATACGTCTAGCAATAAATTATGAGTTATAAATATTTAAATTAGGAAAATTCCCCGAATTTTCCCCATTTTGCACAATTAGTCAAGTTTGGTATTTATTGCCGCAATAAAAAAAAACGTAGCCACTGTTTGTAGTAATTGATGAACTGTCGTAGTATTTCGCTGTAGAATATTCTATGGAACCGTGTTTAAAATTAGTGTTTTTCGACTTGTTTTTTTAAATGTATTAATTTTAATTGTTTATTTATCATTAGGTACACTAATCCAAACGGGCTTAGTCGCTGGCCTGACTGATCTGCTATATTTTATGTGGCAAAAAATTAACGGGATATGGTTACACTCGAAATGGACCCATGAATAAACCATACGCGAAAGTTTGGAGGCCAAAACAGATTCTAATACAAGATATATGTAAAAGATAGGGATAAAGGGATGAGGGATAGTCTACAACCCTTAATTAAACACTATACAATTTCATATAGCCCATTATTGAACCGTGACAGTAACCCGGTAGACTGCTCTGATTTTCCACCCTCTTTCTTGAATGTCGCGTATGAAGTCTCTTATGTACGGGTAGCGCACCCCCGCGCACCCCTGGTATAATTAAACTGCCTTATCGAACTGTTTTCATGTTTAACGACACTCCGCTTAAAAATCGCGCCGATCTCCCAGGAAAATCTGAAATTGCGAAAGAGGGAAACATACTTTTGTTGGAAATGTTTATTTTATTATTCCGGAATGCTGCCTTTATCATCGGAATGTTTTTTTTATTATTCTGAAATGATGAATTTTTTGCAAGAGGACCTGCCCTTTTTTTGACATGTGATCTGCCATTTTTTATTTTATTTTTTTTAACGGAACCCGCTTTTTTGTTATTTTTTTAAATATGTAGGACCTGCATTTTTTAAATGGGATCTGCTCTTTTTATTTAAGTGGGACATATACATTTTGTTTAATAAGACATGTCCTTTATTTGTAATTTTTAGAAGGGACCTGGCCTTTTTTGTTATTTTTTTAAATGGGTCCTGCCCTATTTTGTTATTTTCTTTTAATGGGACCTGCTCTTTTTTGTTAATTTTTTAAATAGGTTCTGGCTTTTCTTTGATATTTTTCGAAATGGGATCCGTGCTTTTTTGTTATTTTTTTACTGGGACCCGCCCTTTTTTCTTAACCTTTTGAAACGAGAGATTAACTATACTTACAAACTTATAACAGATTTGTTTTAATCACGTTAGTTTCGCTATAACGTTAGTCCTGCTCGGTAAAAACTGTCGTAATTTTTTAATTGGCACTATTACCTACTTTTAAGTACCTATCATTTAAAACAATGCGGTATTGTTGAACGTTTCTAGTCCGTTCAATCGTGGAAGTGCTCGGGCATTTATTTGTGCAGAAATCCAACAATTCCAAGTTTAGCTATGCAGTTGAATTTCGTGAAAGACAGGTAATGGCCCGTATGAATAAAAGTAAGCAAATGCTTATACTTGCAAAATTCAAAGTAAGTACTCGTAAGTGCTCCTTCGCACTTGGCGACTTAGCAGTGCTTCTAAGCAGAAGGACAGGACGCAGTGCAGCGCGGCTAAACCATGCTAAACAGACCAGTATGAAGGGGAAGTTACGAGTATTTACTTTGAATTTTTCAAGTATAAGCATTTGCTTACTTTTATTCATACGGGCCATTGAGTCACAATCACAATTGAATGAAACAATCAGGTTTTATAGTATCCCAGCTTAAGCTTGATTTCTATATATGTTACCGCAGGAAAATAAGTTGAATCTTGAGGGGAAATAGACCTTTCTGGAGTTCAGGCTCATGTAATTAAGGGAAGCATAGCATAGGAAATCCCACAACATGCATTATTGGAAAAGGCATTACAAAATGACGTGTTACAAGAAGAATCTCGAATAAATCATAGGTATGTACCTACACACAGTTACAAATCCGAAATGGTAAAACTGGGTTTCCAATTGAAGATGTATCTATCCGAAACTTCCAAAAGGTAAAAAAATTCAAGCGAAAAATTGGATTCATGGCTCAGTGGTAGATCATTGGGTTATGAATCCGAAGGTTGGGTGTTCGAACCTGGGTTGAGGTGAATTTTTCATCTGTGGCGGAGATGGAAATTACCTTAGACCAGCTCCGAGCATTCTACCGGCTACTCCGAATTAGGTTTTCCTGCAGTTTTCCTAATTCGTAAGGTAAATATCGGAGTAGTAGACCAACTTAAGACCTTCTGCAGAGGCACCTCTAAATAGCATTATGCGGGTCACTCTGTAATTGGGCGCATGCCTGTTGAGGGCCCAAAACAAGAGAGGGATAATAATATAATATAATATAATATAATATAATACAGCACCCCCTTTAAACGTAATTGGTGCTTGAATTGTTACAAAACCCCTAAAGCGAATCTAAAAAAACGACGGGGTCATGGGATTTGACCCATTTTCAATAGGCTTGTTACATGTGACATATAGGTCAACTGTGCAAAGTTTGAACCAAATCGATCCAAGCGTTTGGCAGATATCGCGCTCACGGACGGACAGACGAACAGAGGGACACCATCAACTCCCCTATAAAGCTTTGCTCTGCCGCCTAATAACGGTATCCAAGAACCAACAAGGAGACCTCTGAATATATTTATGTAGCATCCAAGATTAAACGAAGAAGCTGCACATAATCCAAACGAAGAAAACGTAATTCAGCTCAGTGTCCCGAGAGCCACATCTATTTTTTTAGCAATATAAAGTCGTACAGATCCCCTCTGTATAAAATAAAAATATTGTGTGAATTAATGCCATTAAGAGATTTCACCCCTTATTTCCAATAAAATTGCACAAAGAATACGTCTGGGTAGGGGAGAAAATAATGCAAATACACTAAAGCTGTCAGAATAATCTAAATGTATGTTTTTTATAACTTTGTTTTCAAATGCATAGATCCTTATAACGACATCGGGGTGTGACCACATAAAAGAACCCTTGTTGGTTTTATCCCTAGGGATAAACGCGAAACGAGTCTTAAGTCAATCAGCATAAATCGCACTCCCTTCCACCTATGCAATCCTCAGATTAAAATATTTTGATTATTAACCCCCTAACTATATTATCAGTTATTTTCCACACTAGTTATTTTGTAAGAAGTCTCAAAATTCGTAATCCAATTTCTGTTTCAGGCGGAGGAGAGCATGATCAAAATACGTTCAGTGGTAATGGCGATTTTAGCACTGCTCATCGTCACCCCTTACTTACAAATGAAATACACCGAACATATCGTTATCCTACAAGAGGATGTGAACCACACGCACAACGCCCTGTACCGAAATTGGAGAAATCTCACCCTAAAAGAGGTGTGAGTACCAAACGTTCCCACTATGTGAACTCCAAGTTTATTTCTAGAAGAACAGCTTGTCGAAACTAGGGCGAATATTATTTCTCCAAGAACCACTGCCGGAAACTCCCAATCGTTCCACGCCATACACTATTTTAGTATGGAAACATGGCAAAAGCCTGGAAATGAGGCACATCAACCAGTACACAAAGCAAAGGTAACCATTATAACGGTATTGGTTGCGTTTAATACCTACTCCAGGTTAAACCCATTCCAGTCGTGTTCGGTAAACAAGTGCAGAATAACTTACAAAGACGATGATTTGCCCATAGCTGACTTGGTGCTCTTCCACATGCATCGAATTAAAAATCTCCACGATTTACCTCACAACAAGCGAGTACAAAAACAGATCTGGGCTTTCCTAACAGATGAAAGTCCTTACCACACATTTCTCTATTCCAAAGACAACCGCATCACAGACTACGATGGCGTGTTTAATTGGTCCATGAGTTACAGGTGCGCGCATCTCACTTCAATTGCGCTCTCCTCATTTTCTTGTGTTACAGAATGCACTCGGACATCCCCGTGCCCTACGGACGCACCCTCTCGAAGAACACACCCGTTAACATCTGGAACTACGAGACTTGGCAGCAATCCAAAAACCAGACCGTTCTCGTCGCCTTGATGGCCTCAAATTGTGGCGGCCAGAGTGGTCGCTGGGAGTACGTCCGCGAATTGCAGAAGCACATGCAGATCGACGTGTACGGCGATTGCGGTAATTTGAAGTGCGCCGGACACTACGATCTCGACTGTCCGAAGCTTTCCAAGTACAAATTTTACCTCTCGTTCGAGAACTCCAACTGCGACGAGTACATTACCGAAAAGGTGTGGTGGAACGCCTACCAAAAGAATGCAATACCGATAGTGATGGGAGGCTCGAAAGAGAGTTACAAGAAGATTTTGCCTCCCGACTCTTACATACACGTAAACGATTTCGCAACACCACGCAGCCTCGCCGACTACATCAGATATTTAAACGACACAGCGAGTGAGCTGAAAATTTATTTTCAGTGGAAGAAATCTTTTTCGGTTTTAAACGAACACGGCTATTTTCAGTCGGCCTCCGTTCATTACTGCAGGATATGCGAAGCGCTCCATTATAATAGTAAAGACGTAAAAGTTTACACAAGTTTAGAATCATTTCTAGACAAGGGACGTTGTCAACCCAAGTGGTCTGCTGTGGTAGATGGTGGAGGGTAACGTGTGAAAATTTAAAAAAATGATGTAGCGTATGTTTATCCTAACCATCCCCTGTCATCCATTAGTTCCATCCGCAACCCAGAATCGGGTGAGCATTAGTTCGGGGCCCGTTGTTAGCTATGGTAATATAGTTTTTATTTTCTGTTTTTTTCCCTTTTCCTTTCGCATTGTTCTTTCATCTGATGTAGAATTTTTTTATATATTGCTCCCAATTTCTTATCGGTTTCATCATTACCAACCGTTCCCCATCCCATTCGAAACATCTGAACAGAGTGTACTCGGGAGTGTCCTCTTTGCAATTGCAATACCAGCACAAAGGCTTTCGTTCCTTTTCTATCCTGTGTAGGGGTGACGAATAGCAACCGTGTCTGGGCAGTATCTGCCAGAGGTAGAAGTTTATTTCTTTGCCTTTCCTTTCTGCCCATTCCTTGATCTCGGGAATCAAACGCCATGTCCATCCACCTTTTTCTGTCTTCTGCCACCTCTCCCAGATTTCGTTTATTCTTGGTCTGTATTTTCTGTCGGATCCACACCTTCGTAGAGGCGTCACCTCTCCTCAGCTACAAGATCTCCAGGAATGCTGCCGGCCATTACGTGAAGCATCGCTCGTTGACCTGTACCCGTTCAATATCCAAAGACGTACTCTCGTTGTACTGCCAGGAGCTTTTGTCTGAACGATGCCAAGACCATACTGGAACGCCATACACGACAGTGCTCTGTGCTCATGGTTGGGCTTCACATAAAACTTTTTGGTCCTTTCAGATTGGGCATTACCCGTGCAAGCACTGCCGCAACTTTTTCAGCTTTTATCAAAGCTGCCTCTAGGTATCGAAAAAACCACCTTTTTTATCCAGTAGTATTCCTAGTTATTTAGCACTATCGGCTGGTTTGATCTCGTGGTCTCCCATTCGCATGATTATGTCGCCCGCGCTAAGAAAACCGCATCTGTGTTGTGAGCTGCTAGTTTAAGCCCTACTCTACTCAATCCACCCACATGTGCACATTTTTTAAAGCGCTTTCCGGGATTTCATGCACAGCTTGAGTCATTTTCTCGACTATAATCAGAGCCAAGTCGTCGGCAAATGCAACTGCGCGTGCACCTATTGGCATTTATAGTTGCAGGACCGGGTTATATACAAATGTTCCACAGGGCGGGGTCAAGCACCGATCCCTGCGAAATCCGCACGTAATCTTCAGTTCCCCCTCCTGCCCTGTTGTAGAGAACTGTGTGAAAAGTAACTTTTGACCATTTGTTCCAGGTATGTGGGGGTTCCCATGTTCCAAACTTATCTACGATTCGATCCCATTTTGCAGAGTTGAGTGCCGTCCGCAGCAGAAGTATTTCTGTCCTCACGATCCCGAATGTGCCCACTGCTCCATCTTTAAGACTTCCTTCACAGCATCCAGAGTGGATCTCTCCTCCCTAAAACCGAACTGATTTTTCGATAGGTGTTTCAAAATTCTTACCCTTATCAAGTGTTCATACAAGACGTTAGGAAAAACGGATACAATATCAATGGGAATAAGGTGCAGTACCTCGTAGTCTACCACCCATATCCGCTGCCAGACACCGAAAAGAAAATTTTACGAAGTATCGTCAATGATTTGTGGGAAAATGGAATGATTATTAGATTATTAAGATTATAGAAAATTAGACGCTGTCACTATAAAAAATAAATACCCACTTCCACTTGTCGACGATTAAATAAATCGTCTAGGTGGAAACAATTTTATACTACTTTAGACATCTGATTATTACCAACTTCCCATGAAAAGGAAACCGCATTTAAAACACCAGATGGACCCTATGAATTCGTACGGATGCCCTTTGGGCTAACCAACGCTCCAGCGATGTTCCACTATTTAATAGACAAAGTACTCAATACTTTTTCCGTACATGATGGACGATTTAATTGTACCAAACTGGACTGCTGCCGACGGGTTGGAAAGACTTAGCTTGGTTCTGCAATACAATACAACTCAGCAAATGTTCACTCTTCAAGGAAAGCCTATATCGTACTTAGGTCGAGAAATATAAAGCAGTGAAGAGAAAAATAAAGTCGGTTTTGGAAGGCAGCGAGGGCCTGAGTCTTAGTATATAAACATCCAGATCGGATTGATGTTTTATAATCAGCCGGGAAGGTTTGCAGAATTATGATAAAGTCTTTTGTATGTGTTGAATCGTTTTTACGCAATTTCCCTATTTATTTATTTCTTATTACACAAATGTTTTATAATCAGCCGGGAAGGTTTGCAGAATTATGATAAAGTCTTTTGTATGTGTTGAATCGTTTTTACGCAATTTCCCTATTTATTTATTTCTTATTACACAAATGCCCCTTTAAGTCAAATAATTTTAAATGGCACGTAACTACACTGTTTAACTTTTAATGCGGATAATGTTTGTGTAAGTACTGCAGAAGATTAGATATAGGTAATATCAGAATACTTAAGTTTAATCCGTGTGACATATCTGTTTAATGGCCGTTTGCACCGACAAATTTAATCACGTTAATTTCGCTATAGGTTAGTCCTAGATCGGTAAGTGTCATAATTTTTTTTATCAATTTACCGGACTTTTTTTGTCAAAAAATCGTAAGGAAACTGGTACTTTTTTCACGATTTTTACTATGCGTTTGCATGGCGTTTAGTCCTATCTATGAAGAATAGCATCCAATTTCTAGTGGCAGTAAATCGCGAACGTCGATTTAATTATGTGTTACCTATATATGCAAAAAAATTTCGTGTACAACACGTGTTGAAAGTGTCATTTTTCCGGGCGAAGCACTTCCAAAACTAGTTATAGGTACAAATAACATAGAGCCCCCCGAATTCCCGATAGACGTAATGGGTACAGGAATAAATTGTTAAAATGGCAAATAATTGCCTCCAAGAACAAAAGAGATCTCTGAATATATTTAGCATCCAAGTAAACGAATAAAAATTGTAGTTCCACCCTTTACTTCCAATCAAATTTACTAGCCCCCTTACTATATTAGCAGTTTTCTCAAAGTTGCTCCTATATTTATCAAACACAAATCATTTTCTAAGAAGGTATAATATTCGCACTTGATGGAAAATGCACACAACTCAAGTCTAAAACTTAGTAACCAAATTTATATTAAAAATAGAACACACCATATAAATTTAATACGTTACATAGTAACGAACTGTATTTGCCGTATTACAGTAAAGACCGCGCATATTTAAGAACAAGTTAAAAAGTAATCGTAAGCGATTTACATAAAGCGCATTTCCACTTGCATTCATTTCCCACTTGTAAGATGCAACTTCTATTAAAATCGTAAAAATCCGGCCACAAATATGAAAGATAGCGTTGCACATGGGCAATCCACTTTTGACGTGCTAGGTACTTCAATTTCAGTTTATGAGAAGAATTTCATTTCAATGCTTTTCTAAATAAGAAAGTTGGAACTGCGCATGCGCAAACCTAAATTGTGAAACTAATGTTAGATTTTCCTTTGTTCCAAGCGCCTAAGTATCATATTTCACTTAATGCTTCCATAGATAAAAAAGTTGGCACTGCGCATGCGCAAAATAAAATTTTGAAACTGGCGCTAGATTTTCCTTTATTCCAAGTGCCTATGTATCACATTTCACATAAATTCTTCCATAAATAAAAATGTTGGCACTGCGCATGCGCAAAACCAAATTTTGAAACTGGCGTTTGATTTTCCTTTATTCCATGTGCCTATGTATCATATTTCGTTTAAATTCTTCCATAAATAAAAAAGTTGGCACTGCGCATGCGCAAAACCAAATTTGGAAATTGGCGGTTGATTTTCCTTTATTCTAAGTGCCTATGTATCAAGTTTCATTCAAATACTTTTATAAGTGAAAAAGTTTGCAATTCGGTTTATAAATGGTCGAGATGCGAAAAGGCCACTGTGAATTTTGAATCGATTCGATTCAACTTTTGGCATTGGGTATTATATGGCTAAAGCTATGCCCATATTGAATTTCATGCAATTCAGTTCATAACTAACGGAGATGTAAAAGCGATCGAACATTTCTAAACAAAGTTATCGTTCACACGGACAGATAGATGGACAGACAGACAAAGGAACAGACGGAGAGACCAACCGGCAGGCGACAGATAGCAATGCAAAATTATAAACGATCTCTAGGATCGTTAATAAACGGCAAAAGTGTAAAATTATGGAACATGTAAAAAACGGTTTTTTGTTTTTTTTACAATAACTTTTTTTGTAAGCGGTACAGAAAAAATTCCTTCCTTGGTACAAGACTCGACACCATAACGAACCAAATAGCGAAAAAAGTAGAACAATAGCTCTTAAGATAAACAACTAGTAGCGTCGCAAAACGAGCGGACGGACGGACGGACGGACGGACAAAGTGGCCACAATAGCGCATTTTATTTTTATTTTTGTGGAAATGCGCTAAAAAGAACAACCAAACGTATTATCTTTTACTAACATTCCTACTAATAATTAAAGAAATAACGTCTTATGGAAAAGATACAACATATCAAGACGTTAACGTATTACATAATACCTGCTAGTGCTGGGCGATAAATGAAATTGTTATCGATTTATCGATAAGTCTGCTTAGTCCGATAATTATCGATTAATCGTTAATCGATAATTATCGATGACCTTCGATAATGATCGATAACTTTCGATAATAATCGATAACTTTTGATAATTATCGATAACTTTTGATAATTATCGATAACTTTTGATAATTACCGCTAACTTTTGATAATAATCAATAATAATCGTTAATTGTCGATAATAATAGATTATTATTGACGTCTGTCTATCACTATCTATTAATCGATAATTATTGATGTTATCGATTAATCGATAATTAACGATAACTTATCGATTAATCGATAATTATCAATAAGTTATCGATTAACCGTTTTTTTTTTGCACAGCACTACATACTACGTTAGTTTAAATGAGGTAAGTACGTCCTTATAGTAGTGGCGTCAAAACTTTTGTAATAATAGTAACACGCGCGCAAGCTTATTAACATATTAATATGCCTTGTAGTTGTTTGACTTAGTCATGTTTTGTAACAGATTTAAACACACCATTCCAAATTTGGTCATTTTTTACTATCTTATGCTTATGTACATAAGATTAGATATGGGTAATTTCGGAATAAGTTTAATTGGAGTAACATATCTGTTTTAATCACGTTAATTTCGCTATCGGTTAATCCTGCATCGGTAAGTGTCACTTTTTTTTAAATTTCGTTATCAAATACTTAAATTTAGTTGACGTTTTCAGTTTTAAGAAAGTCTTCATTTAACCACAAGTGTCACATTTTGACACATTGGCGAACTAGTGCGCCAATTTAAGTTGACGCACTGGTACATTAGTCCTACACTACCTACACGACCCAGTAATTGTCTGAACTACTAAAATTTTATTTTCTTTAATTTACAATTCAACGCAATCGATTATACGAAACCGATTAACGAAAATACGCTAGTTAATTGGTACCTTCACGCTAATTCTGCTCAATTGTCGCTGCGTACTCCACACCTCAAAGCGTGCCTCGTGTGCTGGACGTGAGTTCGGAGGAAGTAAATAACAACTAGCTTCTTCTGCAGCCGCTTCAACGTCGGATGGAATACTCACATTTTCATCGGAATCGTTCATTTTGCTAGCAAAAAGTTTCCAAACGCGATTAAAACATAAACGACGCCAAACGAGGATGCTTCAAACAAAGATGACGGTCTCTGCTTATCCATAGCAACAGTACTGTGCAAAAAAACGATTAATCGATAACTTATCGATTATCGGCTGGCTGACATGAATTAGATACTATTACCGTTTCTGTTATAAAAACTAACAATTTTGAAGGACGTACCAAATTTTTGAGGATTATTGTCTAGTTGATCACCTTTGATTTCAAAAAACTACGAAATATCTATAGTTGTTTTAATATTTTTCAAAACATCCTGTTTTTATTTAAATTATCAATATCAATACCAAATAAAACCAAAAATGTTAACGAGTGTATGCATTGAGAATATATTTACCTATGTCGATAGGATTTCTGAAAAAGTATCCATAGTTTTCTCTCGATAATTATCGCCATTCGATTAATCAATAACAATCAGAGATCGACAATTTTCGACAATGTCAATAATAATCTATTATAATCGACAATTAACGATCATTATTGATTATTGCGATAATTATGAAAAGTTATCGACAGCCAATTTGCAACTTGTTGTACAAATAACTATTACGTGGAAGTATTGATTAAAATAATGGTATTGTTGATTGTGTCAAGCCTCGTTTCGAGTTAAGAGCTCCATAGTCAATTTGCCACGGCACTTCCGTTGCAAATATAATAGTGCCTAAATATTTATTTCGTTTTGTATTAAATGGGAAATTGCAACCAGAAAACTGTATCATAAAAATTGTTCAAAAATGCCTACGACTAGCCCTTACGATGATCAATTTTTTACTCCCCTGCCTTGGTTCACACAAGAGATCTCATTCATTACCTACTGTCTAGCATAAATGATAACACCAAAATATTGGAAAAATATCAGAAAATATTAAGGATGGTTATAAGGATGCATCTCCCTTTGTTACATTGATTTCCTCTTTCCTAAATTCCTACCTGACATAAATTTGTATATTTGTATGAGCTGATGTTATTGAAATTCACTTTTAGGAAATCTCCTAGGGAAACTTTTACACTGATTATCTTTATTCTTAGAGCGACATAGAGCACCCCGAATCCCCAATATAGACGAAAAGGGTGCAGGAATAAATTGTTAAATAATAATGGCAAATATATTTAGTATCCAAGTAAACGAATAAAAATTTTCACCCCTTATTTCCAATAAAATTTACTAGCCCCCTTACTATATTATCAGTTTTCTCAAAGTTGCTCCTTTTTTTCCACACACAATCATTTTCTAAGAAGGTATAACATTCGCACTTGATGGAAAATACACACAACTCAAGTCTAAAAGTTAGTCACCAAATTTCCGTTTCAGACGAACTACTTAGGACATGATCAAAATCCGTTCCCTAGTAATGGCGATTTTAGCATTGCTCATCGTCTCCTTTTACTTGCAAATGAAGTACACCGAAAAGAAAGTTAACCCACAAAGGAATGTAACTCACGAAAAGCCCAACGGAGATTGGAGAAATCTCACCGTAAAAGAGGTATGGGTGCCATACATTCTCAGTATATCTGAATTCCAAGTTTATTTCTAGAAGAACAGCTTGTCCAAACTTGGGCGAATATTATTTCTCCAAGAACCATCGCCGGAAACTCCCAATCGTTCCACGCCATACACTATTTTATTATGGAAACATGGCAAAAGCCTGGAAAGGAGGCACATCAACCAGTACACAAATCAAAGGTAATATGCCATTATAAGGGTATTGGTTACGTTTAATACCTTGTCCAGGTTAAACCCATTCCAGTCGTGTTCGGTAAGCTGCAGAATAACCTACGAAGATGGTGACTTATCCTTAGCTGACTTGGTCCTTTTCCATATGCAACGAATTAAAAATGTACAAGATCTACCCCACACAAACCGCGTACAGAAACAGATTTGGGCGTTCCTAACGGATGAGAGTCCTTTCCATACATTTCTCTATTCTAAAGACAACCGCATCACAGACTACAATGGAGTGTTTAATTGGTCCATGACCTACAGGTGCACGCATCTCTCTTTAATTGAACTCTCCACATGTTCTTGCACTCGGACATTCCCGTGCCCTACGGACGCACCGTATGGAATAATGCACCCGTCGACGTCTGGGACTACGGTACTTGGCAACAATCCAAAAACCAGACCGTTCTCGTCGCCTTGATGGCCTCAAATTGTGGCGGCCAGAGTGGTCGCTGGCAGTACATTAGTGAACTGCGAAAGCACATACAGATCGACGTGTACGGCGCTTGCGGTAAATTGAAGTGCGCCGGACACTACGATCTCGACTGTCCGACGCTTACCCAGTACAAATTTTACCTCTCGTTCGAAAACTCCAACTGCGACGAGTACATTACCGAAAAGGTGTGGTGGAACGCATACCAAAAGGATGCAATACCGATAGTGATGGGAGGCTCGAATAAGAGTTACAGGAAGATTTTGCCTCCAAACTCTTACATACACGTAAACGATTTCGCAACACCACGCAATCTCGCCGACTACATCAAATATTTAAACGACACACCGAGTGAGCTGAAAATTTATTTTCAGTGGAAGAAATCTTTTTCGGTTTTAAACGAGCACGGCTATTTTCGGTCGGCCTCCGTTCATTACTGTAGGATATGCGAAGCGCTCCATTATAATAGTAAAGAAGTAAAAATTTACACAAATTTAGAATCATCTCTAGACAAGGGACGTTGTCAACCCAAGTGGTCTGCTGTGGTAGACGGTGGAAGGTAACGTGTGAAAATAAAAAATTGTTATTTAGTATATATTTCTTTGGACAGTAGGTACTGTCTCACTCTCAATGCAAGAGAAGTTCGTATGCATAACATACAAAACTATCAGAATCTCCAGTGGCAGCAGGGCTGCTCTGCAGGCACTTGATGGCCACTGTAAAATTACCTCTAGGCTGCTTTTCGAATGCCACCATGCACTTGACTAGAGCAGGTAGCAGCAGCAACACCTATGAGCTATCATATTGATTAAAAGGCATGCTGGAACGGAAGGTAATGAAAAAGCCGACGAGTTAGCACGACTGGTCGTAAAACAAGTGTTTTATGGTCCAGAGCCTGCTCTTCCACTTACAATTGCAACTGTAAATATCTTAATAAGTTAAAAGACACCTAAACCCAACAAAGGCCAAGATGGAACATTATGTTAGATCGTCGCCATGCGAGGGAAGTCTTCAGAGAACCATCTCGAAGCTTGGCGCGTTTTTGCACGGTGCTATCAAGAAAGAACCTGAAGTTACTTATGGGAATACTTTCTGGGCACTGTAAACTAAATAGCAAATGCAAACGCATGGGTCTGGTAGAATCACCATCTTGTAGGTAGAGGATGTTACACAGACAACGAGACGACAAACCACATAGGTACTATGTTAATGTCCCATTCTAGTCCAACTGAGACGATCCATGTTGGGGGTATCCTGGCCGGACATTGCTACAATTAGAGTCATTTCCCTTATTTGCCTGACCGCTTCGATGTTTCAAAGTATTGTGAGGTAAATTTAATTACGCTCCCGAGTATTTTAGAATGTTCTCGAATAAGCACTCCTTCGTTCTTTATCGCCGATGACTAATCTTTCATGGCGCCTCAATGTCTATTGGGATTTCTGAAATATTCGCTACGGTAATATAACGCGATGCATATTTTTCTGGCAGTTTAGAATAGATCATGCATTTATTTTCTTGTCGGTAACGAATTGATATCGATTTTACATTTCTTATTTGAACTGTTCGTAAATTTCTATACTCTGAAATATTAAGCGAATACCGATGTTTCTTCACTAATTGTTTTATGGGCATTTTTTTCTTTAAAACGTTTCCATTAATTGCCTGGCGCGGGATGTAGGTATATCCTGTTCTCCCTGGGAATGATAGCTAGTTTTATGTGTCCCAGCTGTAGATGGTCGTCTATAAACTTCTTGTAACATTCCTCCAGTTTGTTGTCCTTCTTCTTCTTCTCCAATTGTAGTAGTCTTGCTACTGCCAATGGTCTTGAATTTTCTAGAGTGTCTGGGGTCTTCTTTAAACGGTATGTTTACTGAGAACGTTCCATCAGGATTCGTCACAGTGGTTTGATGGTAGTGCTCTTCAAATTCCTCTTCTTGTTAGGCCAATTTCTCTACTCTTGGAATTTCCTCGAGGTCCCGGAACTTTTCCAGCTGTGCTTCCTCTTCTACTTGAAGCCATTCAATTCACTCCACCATCTTGTGGACTGAGTTTAAGTGATTAATTTTTCGACATTTTGGCAATAAAAACGAAGTAGTGATTTGATTGTCCATAGGCGCCGCGTCGAAAACCTAATCCTCCTTTTCCCTATACAAGCGCCGATAATGAGATGTGACCGAAACGAGGAAGCAGGGAAATTTGGTTTCTTACCCGTTTCGTTTGATTGAAGTTTCCCCTAAAACCAAACAATAATCATGGCGGAGCATGATGTGAATTCGTTAGACAATAAACAAACAATACTAAAAAACGGAAATAAACAATGGGTTAAATTAAACGTCGGCGGTACATATTTTTTAACGACAAAAACTACCCTAACGAGAGACCCCAACTCATTTTTATACAGATTAGTGCAGGAAGATGCGGATCTAATTTCTGATAAGGTATGTTTCTATTCTGGCAATTGGTCTTTGATGACATTTCCCCAGGACGACACCGGAGCTTACCTAATAGACAGAGATCCGACGTACTTCTCGCCCGTGCTGAACTATCTACGGCACGGCAAATTAGTTATAAATAAGGGCTTAGCGGAGGAAGGTATCTTAGAGGAGGCGGAATTTTACAATATCGCCGAATTAATAAAACTAGTTAAGGAACGTATTTATCATAGGGATATACAGCCGAACAAAGATGGCAAGACGCACGTCTATCGAGTTTTGCAGTGTCACGAAGACGAACTCACGCAGGTAAGAGGAGTAATTTGTGTTCGGCGATCACTAGGCTGCATTGTAGATGGTGTCGACGATGTCGGACGGCTGGAAGTTCGAGCAGTTGGTCAACATTGGCTCTCAGTACAATTACGGTGCAGAGGAACATGCGGAATTTCTGTGCGTCGTGAGTAGGGAATATGGCGTGCCTGAAGGTTTAGAAGTTGAACATAGCGATCGAGGCAAAGTGTTACAGCAGAAAGGCTCTCGCATGTAAATTGAGCGAGTTTAGGAGTCTTTGTACATAATTACTTAATGACAGTGTTGGGCTGTTTTATTTCATACTGATATTATTGAGGAAGCGGGATGTTAAAAGGCTGTTAACGTTTTTGATATGGCAAATCGAGCAGTTTATGGCTGACTTGTTTTGGGCTTTAATTATGATACTCTAAATTGTGCCAAATGTGCCTCTACATTTAAAAGTTAACCGTGCAGCAAGTTAACAGCCGATTTAGCAAAAGAGTATTTGTTCTCGCATTCGAGAGTATTGTATATAAAATAGATTAATAAATGATCCTTAATGAACGCACAGAATTTATAGGATAACGTATTATTTTTCAATTTTGATGTTGATTGTTAGTGGCTTTACATAATGTAATTTTTTTATCCTTTATATATCCAAAACTACCCATAAAATAAAAAAAATTGTAGCCACTTATAAATACTGTTGTCTATTTAATCCTGTTCAAACAAGAATTCATTTTCTAATGTCTCCAGTATACTGTTGTAAATTATATATATAATGCTTGTACTCGCAAGAATTTTGTTTATCAGAGTATCATTGTTTTGTTGGAGAGTTGCATAAAAGACAATTTAGTAACACCATAAAACACTTACAAAAGTTCTTTCTTGCACATTACTTTGCTTAAAAACAGGAGCGTGTAAAGAAAAATTTGTGCAGGTGTATGGTGTTTTAAGGTTTAGCATTGATACCGTCAGTAAAATTAATTGAAATGATGTGTCCTATACAGGGGAACGGTTCGACTGAAAAACTGACCCTGTATATTAACAGGAGAAAGTAATGCTTTATAGATATAGTTGCATTAAGTGTTATTCAAATCACGTACTTGTGTTGTGTAATTTTGATATAAGAAAAGTCTTCAGCTACTTGTAATTCGAATGGAACTCGGAGGAATGACACATTTGTATTATCAAATCACTTTGTGTAACTTGTTTTTATAGTTCTTTTTTTTGTTACATATCTGGAAATTCTTACTAAAAACTGTGCTGTAGTTTTTCGATATAACACTTTTTTACGGACTGTCTAGAACAATAAGTATAAATACCTATAAAGCTTTGTTTTGTACAATAAACGACTATGTGCAATAATTGGTCTAGTATCTAATCACTGACGAAGACCCCACCACTGTCTTCTTGGAACCATCGTCCGCCTTTTCCTTGCCCCCTATTCCGCAGTGCGCTGGCACCTAGATCAAGCTTACCCTACTTATTAGACTCGCCTAGTCTATTAGAACCTGTCTGCTGACAGCGCCCTCAGCCTGACTGCCACTGCTTTATTTATATTTTATTTTATAGTGGGCGAAGTGTTAGCCAATTAGCTACTCTCCCCACTCAACGGCCACTATGTACAGTCACAATAAACAGCCATATGCCTTATCTAGGACTCAAAAAATTGTTGCTTTCAACTTGATCCTGACGAAGGTCATCATGGAAGAACTGGGAAGAAACCTGGCTACTTGAGGAGAGTGGTGCATAGTTATCTCAATGACAGGACGAACGTAGGGAAATTATACCGTCTGGGACGAGTTACCTTTTTGTGTCCAACGGAGGAGTGCCACAAGGGTCAGTGTTAGGGCCACTCCTGTGGAATATTGCGTACGACGGGATGTTAAGGCTGGGAGTCCCGGCAGGGGTGGACCTTGTGGCTTACGCGGATGACGTTAGTGTATAGTGACCAGGGGCGGACTGGCCCGGGGGGGGGGGGCGGGTGGCGATTGCCACCTGGGCTGTACGTCATAACGGCCCGTTGGAAATTTATAAGTATGTGCTGCATTTAGTTTCTTGCACTATTAATAAATTATTAACACGTTTCTCTAATTGGGGTTGATGTTAGGTTGTTAAAAAATTAAAAAATTCTGTTTTAATTGAAGTGTTTTACAATGAATTTATCATTTTTTGTTGTAGCGTGAAAGTGCTGAAATAAAATGATAGGCGCCGCGCCTCGTTTGGATTGTGTATTTTGTTACTTTGAATTAAGTATCAGCTGCAATTTAAAAAAAACCTGTATTGTAATTGATTTCCGAAAAAGGAGTACTTTAAAATGAAGCAAAAAATGTTTTTGTGGTGCACCGCAGAGCTACCCCCCGCCCCCATGATTACTACACTAATACTTTAATGGCCCGTAACCTATGCAATTCCACCTGGCCCGCCCCTGACTAGAAACCAATTTCGAAAGAAAATTCAAAGGGCTGTAAGTTTTGAACTAGTAGCCCAATCTTGGAACTGTTTGAAATTATGGATTCTACAGGCCACATTCTATAAGAAAATTTTTTTCCGGGTCGATCTGAGACAATTTTTTTTTCGGGCTCAAAAAAAGGCAGTGTATAATAACCTTCCTTTTTTACCAAAAATCGACTGCACCAAAATTTCTCGAGAAAACACTTTTCCGTATTAATGTTGGTGCGTAGAATCCAAAACAATTCGTACTTTTTCGATCGGACGTCTCAATCTAAAGTTATAGACCGGACCGGAGACGCTCCCCCCGTCATCTTCATTACTACACTAATACTTTAATGGCCCGTAACCTATGCAATTCCACCTAGCCCGTAAGTATAACCCAGTTCGCCCCTGATAGTGACTAGAGACCGCAAGTTAGAGTGCGCCGCTCAAAAGGCTCAGGAGGGTCATATCGAAGGTGCAAAGATGGACGGAGGAACAAGGCCTTAAATTAGTAGGAAGTAAAACCAAGGCAGCCCTGATCGCCGGGAGAAACACGGCGAAACGAATTATTTCGTCACGCAATTTCTGACTAGACACGGGGAAAACAGGGTGTACCACAAAAAAATACAAAAGAAAGACGGCGGGCGGCCATTAAAATAGGAGAAATTTTAGAGGAAGAGGTAATATTATTGGTATAATGCTGTAAAAATTGGAGAAAGGAGGCGAGAGCGGAAATGGGAAACAGACAGGCATAAGAATTTACTAAGAGATCACTCGCGGAGGAATGCCACTGGCGACAAAACCCGAAATAACTCATTTGGTATCGGTTTTTTTGGCGAAAAAACTTCAATAATAAATTAAAGTACATAACATTTCCTTTGAGATGAGCCCTTTGTTGATAAAAATCGGATAAAAACTAACGCCGCACTATAGTGCGACGAAATTCGGCCCAAAAATGAAGATTTCGCAATTTTCATTGGCGTTCTCGGTACCTATTTAAGAAACTTAAGAGACCTGTTGTATACTTGGATGAGACCTATATCCGCCCATCGTATGGAGTGAGTAAATGCTAGCAATCCGATGAAGTATCGGGAGTTTATCAATCTAATAGGGATGGTCAGAGTCAGAGGTACATCATATAGATCATGCTGGTGGTCGTTCTGGTTTTGTAGGGGATGGTTTGTTGTTGGTCAAGTAACGATAGTGATTGAGAAAAGTTAATAATACGAACAAGGGTTGTCAACCTCTGTACTGTTCCTATTCGATTCTTTTTTCTAAATTCGAACTGTTGTGTCTTTTCGCTTTTTGCTGGGATTTATAAGAGTTTCTATTCCGCGCTGAAGCACTACACTTTACATCATTATTTAAGTCTTTTTTACAAATGAAACACTTTTTTGTGCTTTCTGGTTCCATATTGAACGCTCAATCACCGAAAACCGAGCCAAAAACGCACTGGAGAAAAGGAAAAACATAACTAATGGCCATTTGCACCGACAAATTTAAGCTGAGCTTAGCTTAAGCGTTGCTTAAAATCCATGACAACGATTATTGAGACAATGGTTGTTATGGATTTTGAAGCTACCCTTAAGCTAAGTTCAGCTTAAATTTTTCGGTACAAACGGCCGTAAGTATTCCAAAAGCTGGACAGCAGGACGTTATGTTCTATCAACAGGAAAATCCGACAGCAAAATTTGACGGGAATACGCGAAAAACAAACGATTTGTTGGCTACATTCCAAAACCACGTATCCTGGTTGAACTGTTCGATGGGAGATACATGGGCCCATATGAATAAAAGGAAGCATATGCTTATATACTTGAAAAATTTAAAGTAAATGCTCGTAAGAGCCCCTTCAAACTGCGCTGCGTCTCGTCTGCTAAGTCGCCAAGTGCGAAGGGGCTCTTACGAGTATTTCCTTGAATTTTGCAAGTATAAGCATTTGCTCCCATTTATTCATATGGGCCATGGTTTTGAAATGTAGCAAAAAAGTGGGTTCTCTTTCGTTAAATGCTGCCCAATTATGCATTTGAATAACAAATGCCGAGTTTCTGACGAAACAGTCAATAAGGATATAAAAAATCAAAAAACCACACTAAAAGAAGCAATCTTACGTCGATGATTGTCAAAATTATGGATTCAATTGGGTGTTCTTCAAAAGCTCCTCACATTCGGAGAGCTTACTGCTCGTAAATAACGTCAGTTCCGTTTTATGCGCGCGAAATTTTGAAAAATGCGAAACCTCATTTTTGGCCCGAATTTCGTCGCACTGTAATGGCGTTAGTTTTTATCCGATTTTCATTAACAAGGGCTCATCTCAAAGGAAATTTTATGTACTTTAGGTAAATTATTACTGATGTTTCTTCGCCAAAAAACCGATACCAAATGAGTTATTTCGCGTTTTGTGGAAAAACCGCCGATTTTTCGCCATTTTCCCAAGATGGCGGCTCCCGCGTCATCCGGATTTTTGTGCAAATGTCAAATTCGGATTCAGCGACCCAAAAAACATAAACCCTGCGTCATGGTTCTTTGTCTCAGAAATTTGCAAGGTCAAATCCTCTGGGGCCTGGACTACTACGCTATAGAGTCAAGCGGAGGTGTGCGATAGGCATTCCACCATCCCCCCCCCCCAAAAAAAACATACATCACCGCCTGAAACATATGATGCTGTATACTGACCAAGGTCGAAGAGCTAGCTGAAGTCAACTGTTGGTTGACCACCATATCCCCATTCCCCTTTTCGTTAGGGATCCGTCTGTAAACCGTCATCAATAGAGGCTTGTGTTGGTAAGACCCACCCAGAGTGAATTTAGTATATCTTTTCAATGAAAGTCAGACAGACCATCTTACGATGACATCTAGCAAAAGCAAAAATTTTTGTAGGTACCTATGTCTTTGAGCATGTCTACAGAGCAGGGACCCGGACCGGACCGAAAAAGAACCGAAAACCGGACCGAAACCGTTATTTTTTTCTGGACCGAAAACCGAACCGAAACCGTTATTCCTTCAGAAATGGAAACGTATTGAGAACCGGAACCCATATTACTTTTTTCGGTTCTTTTCGGTTTTTTTACGGTTCTTAACAGGTTATTGGAAGTTGAAGGACGCGCCGGCAACCACGTCCTGAAAATTGATAAAATATTAGTCTATGATTGCCATCGGTGGATTATAAATTTTTAATAAGGTGTCGAAATTGAAGGCATTACGAGTGGCGGTGGCGCTAATTTAGCCACTAAATAAAAAAGGAGGGGCGAGGTTTTAGAAAATAAAATTTTCTGATTTTTAGTAATAAAGTGTAAATACACATTTCCCTCTTCCTCCTTTATTCCCCTTGTCGTTATAAATTATACGATACGTCACGTTTTGGTATTCATGGCTTTTTCTTCGCACCTATTAATTAACAAATCACGTTGTTATAATGAATTTTTTGAATGCCATACTTTCTAAAAACTAGAACCGCAAATAACCGTTATGGACCGAAAAAAATGCGCAGAACCGAACCGTTATTTCCTTTTAGAACCGAAACCAGACCGGAACCGTTATAAATATTTTCGCTTAAATATAAACAGAACCGGAACTGATATTTCATTTGGGTCCGGGTCCCTGCTACAGAGTAGCATAAATGGGATATTTCGCTTACCTAAGCCCTCTTATTATACCTATGCGGCTCTATATTGGCTTCCTATGTTACTTACAAAAAGAAACATCCTGTATAACTGCAAAGCATGACAGACCAAGAAATGAACATTATGCATGGTTGCCGTAGTTACATTAAGTACATTATTTATGTCAAACGAAAAATTGTCATTTCTCAAAGCATATCTGTTACTAGCAACCATTTCTCAGGAAGTTATTAATGGAAGCTCAAAATAACGACCAATCTACTAGGTCATCCAACGAGGCAAACCCTGCACAAGCGCGAGTTTATCAGCAGAAAGAATGCAGTATTATGCGAGCAATTTTCACTCTGAAGCGGAAGTCACCCAAGATGGAAACCTTTCTCCAACTTTGTTTCGATGTTCAATATCCTTTCTAAAATGAATTTTTTGTTAATGTCCCCTCAGGAGTAATAAATTGTTTATTTAATATTGATTTGTGCATATGAAACAACTATAATAATGTATTTACCATTCTATAGTTTAGCCAAAGCAAAGAACACTTTGGTGTAGATATTTTTTTGAATTTCTCAAAAACACTCACGGTTTTTTGTATGCAATGGGCTATCGTTCAATGTTCAAAGCTTTTTGAAAGAGTACAAAATTCTCCATAAATTATTTCCCAAAAACCGTTTAAAATGTAAATAAAACTACGAGGCAACATCCAAAAAATCCAAATATTTGTTGGCAAAACTGGTTTAAAAAATAATACCAGCGCAACGACTATTTTTTTTTAGTATAAGTAATTGATATGGTAACTTGGTTTTACAAGAACGCTTCCGATTTGCATTAGAGGTAATAAATAAATAATAAATCCAAAATACCTCCCAAAAAGGCCCTAAACGTCAGAGTTACGCGCTGAAAATGATACACTACTATAAGAAGGCTGAAAATGATACACTACTATAAGAAGGACATGCCCTTTTATAAAAATAAAAAAAAACGGAAAGTCTAAGTCGAGAAAGTCCTTAAAAATGACTGTAAAAAATAGCGCGATGTTCAACTGTGCGAACTCAAAATTGATATCAAAAAGGCCCTAAACGTCAGAGTTACGCGCTGAAAATGATACACTACTATAAGAAGGACATGCCCTTTTATAAAAATAAAAAAAAACGGAAAGTCTAAGTCGAGAAAGTCCTTAAAATGACCATAAAGTCAAATCCAAAATACCTCCCAAAAAGGCCCTAAACGTCAGAGTTACGCGCTGAAAATGATACACTACTATAAGAAGGACATGCCCTTTCATAAAAATCAAAAAAAACGGAAAGTCTAAGTCGAGAAAGTCCTTAAAAATGACCATAAAGTCAAATCCAAAATACCTCCCAAAAAGGCCCTAAACGTCAGAGTTACTCGCTGAAAATGATAAACTACTTTAAGAAGGACATGCCCTTTTATAAAAATAAAAAAAAACGGAAAGTCTAAGTCGAGAAAGTCCTTAAAAATGACCCATAAAGGCAAATCCAAAATTCCTCCCAAAAAGGCCCTAAACGTCAGAGTTACGCGCTGAAAATGATACACTACTATAAGAAGGACATGCCCTTTTATAAAAATAAAAAAAACGGAAAGTCTAAGTCGAGAAAGTCCTTAAAATGACCATAAAGTCAAATCCAAAATACCTCCCAAAAAGGCCCTAAACGTCAGAGTTACGCGCTGAAAATGATACACTACAATAAGAAGGACATGCCCTTTTATAAAAATAAAAAAAAACGGAAAGTCTAAGTCGAGAAAGTCCTTAAAAATGACCATAAAGTCAAATCCAAAATACCTCCCAAAAAGGCCCTAAACGTCAGCGCGTAAAATGATACACTACAATAAGGACATGCCCTTTTATAAAAATAAAAAAAACGGAAAGTCTAAGTCGAGAAAGTCCTTAAAAATGACCATAAAGTCAAATCCAAAATACCTCCCAAAAAGGCCCTAAACGTCAGAGTTACGCGCTGAAAATGATACACTACAATAAGAAGGACATGCCCTTTTATAAAAATAAAAAAAAACGGAAAGTCTAAGTCGAGAAAGTCCTTAAAAATGACCATAAAGTCAAATCCAAAATACCTCCCAAAAAGGCCCTAAACGTCAGAGTTACGCGCTGAAAATGATACACTACAATAAGAAGGACATGCCCTTTTATAAAAATAAAAAAAAACGGAAAGTCTAAGTCGAGAAAGTCCTTAAAAATGACCATAAAGTCAAATCCAAAATACCTCCCAAAAAGGCCCTAAACGTCAGAGTTACGCGCTGAAAATGATACACTACAATAAGAAGGACATGCCCTTTCATAAAAATAAAAAAAAACGGAAAGTCTACGTCGAGAAAGTCCTTAAAAATGACCATAAAGTCAAATCCAAAATACCTCCCAAAAAGGCCCTAAACGTCAGAGTTACGCGCTGAAAATGATACACTACTATAAGAAGGACATGCCCTTTTATAAAAATCAAAAAAAACGGAAAGTCTAAGTCGAGAAAGTCCTTAAAAATGACCATAAAGTCAAATCCAAAATACCTCCCAAAAAGGCCCTAAACGTCAGAGTTACGCGCTGAAAATAATACACTACAATAAGAAGGACATGCCCTTTTATAAAAATAAAAAAAAACGGAAAGTCTAAGTCGAGAAAGTCCTTAAAAATGACCATAAAGTCAAATCCAAAATACCTCCCAAAAAGGCCCTAAACGTCAGAGTTACGCGCTGAAAATGATACACTACAATAAGAAGGACATGCCCTTTTATAAAAATAAAAAAAAACGGAAAGTCTAAGTCGAGAAAGTCCTTAAAAATGACTGTAAAAATAGCGCGATGTTCAACTGTGCGAACTCAAAATTGATATCAAAAAGGCCCTAAACGTCAGAGTTACGCGCTGAAAATGATACACTACTATAAGAAGGACATGCCCTTTTATAAAAATAAAAAAAACGGAAAGTCTAAGTCGAGAAAGTCCTTAAAAATGACTGTAAAAATAGCGCGATGTTCAACTGTGCGAACTCAAAATTGATATCAAAAAGGCCCTAAACGTCAGAGTTACGCGCTGAAAAATGATACACTACAATAAGAAGGACATGCCCTTTTATAAAAATAAAAAAAAACGGAAAGTCTAAGTCGAGAAAGTCCTTAAAAATGACCATAAAGTCAAATCCAAAATCCTCCCAAAAAGGCCCTAAACGTCAGAGTTACGCGCTGAAAATGATAAACTACTATAAGAAGGACATGCCCTTTTATAAAAATAAAAAAAACGGAAAGTCTAAGTCGAGAAAGTCCTTAAAAATGACTGTAAAAATAGCGCGATGTCCAACTGTGCGAACTCAAAATTGATATCAAAAAGGCCCTAAACGTCAGAGTTACGCGCTGAAAATGATACACTACAATAAGAAGGACATGCCCTTTTATAAAAATAAAAAAAAACGGAAAGTCTAAGTCGAGAAAGTCCTTAAAAATGACCATAAAGTCAAATCCAAAATACCTCCCAAAAAGGCCCTAAACGTCAGAGTTACGCGCTGAAAATGATACACTACAATAAGAAGGACATGCCCTTTTATAAAAATAAAAAAAAAACGGAAAGTCTAAGTCGAGAAAGTCCTTAAAAATGACTGTAAAAATAGCGCGATGTTCAACTGTGCGAACTCAAAATTGATATCAAAAAGGCCCTAAACGTCAGAGTTACGCGCTGAAAATGATACACTACTATAAGAAGGACATGCCCTTTTATAAAAATAAAAAAAAACGGAAAGTCTAAGTCGAGAAAGTCCTTAAAAATGACCATAAAGTCAAATCCAAAATACCTCCCAAAAAGGCCCTAAACGTCAGAGTTACGCGCTGAAAATGATACACTACAATAAGAAGGACATGCCCTTTTATAAAAATAAAAAAAAACGGAAAGTCTAAGTCGAGAAAGTCCTTAAAAATGACCATAAAGTCAAATCCAAAATACCTCCCAAAAAGGCCCTAAACGTCAGAGTTACGCGCTGAAAATGATACACTACAATAAGAAGGACATGCCCTTTTATAAAAATAAAAAAAAACGGAAAGTCTAAGTCGAGAAAGTCCTTAAAAATGACTGTAAAAATAGCGCGATGTTCAACTGTGCGAACTCAAAATTGATATCAAAAAGGCCCTAAACGTCAGAGTTACGCGCTGAAAATGATACACTACTATAAGAAGGACATGCCCTTTTATAAAAATAAAAAAAAACGGAAAGTCTATCGAGAAAGTCCTTAAAAATGACCATAAAGTCAAATCCAAAATACCTCCCAAAAAGGCCCTAAACGTCAGAGTTACGCGCTGAAAATGATACACTACAATAAGAAGGACATGCCCTTTTAAAAAATAAAAAAAAACGGAAAGTCTAAGTCGAGAAAGTCCTTAAAAATGACCATAAAGTCAAATCCAAAATACCTCCCAAAAAGGCCCTAAACGTCAGAGTTACGCGCTGAAAATGATAAACTACAATAAGAAGGACATGCCCTTTTATAAAAATAAAAAAAAACGGAAAGTCTAAGTCGAGAAAGTCCTTAAAAATGACTGTAAAAATAGCGCGATGTTCAACTGTGCGAACTCAAAATTGATATCAAAAAGGCCCTAAACGTCAGAGTTACGCGCTGAAAATGATACACTACTATAAGAAGGACATGCCCTTTTATAAAAATAAAAAAAAACGGAAAGTCTAAGTCGAGAAAGTCCTTAAAAATGACCATAAAGTCAAATCCAAAATACCTCCCAAAAAGGCCCTAAACGTCAGAGTTACGCGCTGAAAATGATACACTACTATAAGAAGGACATGCCCTTTTATAAAAATTAAAAAAGACGAAAAGTCTAAGTCGAGAAGATGACATCGTGGTGAGATGGGTAGCGTTCAACGCAGATATTCATAAAAAGTAATCAGATAAAGGTACATGAGGACGATTAACCATTGCAGCCCATAAGCAACTACCGCAACTCATTTTTGATCGCATAGTACATGGATGTTCGTGACTGCACAATCTACGAGTGGAGTGTAGCCATAACATGTCACACCGAACGACAGGACATAGTAGTAAATGCAGTTGGCATTTTCAAGGTATTTCAAGACTGTTTAGTTCAAACAAAACACACTCATCAGTAACGAAGATACCGGGAGGTCCGACCAAAACCTCATTGAAGAAGAACCAGTCCTGAAGGCAAAAGACCTGCAGTTTGGGCCCATAATCAAAGAAAAAGAAGAATTACAAAACGACATACACAACACTTTAACTTTTGTCGATAATACACCATGCATAAAACGAAAAATCCTACCTTTTATGAGGCTGACTTTCTGGAATCTGCAACAAAGAGGAGATTTGTGTTAAAAATGATATTAAAATATTTTGTGTTTGGGAACAATTGTAAATTTTGACTGGGACAGTGAAGCATTTGTTTGTGTTTGACAGTTTTCTTAAAGAAATTGAGCTATAAACACTTGCAATGAAAGGAATGAACACTTACCCTTTAGCCTCATTCATTCTCTTTGCTGGGAGAACCATCAATTACCAAAGTCGAGATGGATCTTCCTCGTTCGTCAAGAACTGAAAATAAAAATATATTCAAATAAATTCAATAGCTGAGATAATCAAAATATTACTATTGTATATGTCAACCCCCCCCCCCCTTCGCCTCTCCGTATGCTACGTTGCTGAATATGAGAAATGATCATGCTCTCTTTGAAAGGAACACGGACGCCACTGGTACAATTCAGTTTCATCTGTCCTACAGTTCATTGCTAATACTCTCTGATTTTTCATGACAGTTTACTTATAAGTCACCTGTTGATAAAGTGAAAAGGAAATAAAGAGAGATTGTGAGTGGAAGAAGTGTCGCAATGGATGGGATACGAATCCTGGTTGGTAGCCGGTGTGGGCCCCCCGTGTATCAATTTGTAACATATTCACGAGGAGAGTATCCCGTTACTTGCAGGTTTGTGCTTGTGACTCGATCTTCATTTGTCAATACCGCAGGTATCGGAGGAGAATCGAGATGTGAACGACAACCATATGTTTACGGCTCCTGTTACTTGGGGGAAAGATTCCGTTCCCAAAAGATAAAACTGACGCAGTGGAATTGTTTGTAAAACGAGCAACGTAAGACTGGGGCACAGCGAATGAAACGTAACGAAGTAATGCAGTATCGGAGTCTTGACCGTAAGTACCGGTATTTAAATGAAATTGTCGCAATCGTAGGTGTTCTATCATTACACGGCCAGTGGCCGTCACATGTAGGTACAGCCGGTTATTGTAGGAGATGCTATTTTTCCACGCCAGAAGTACACACACCGTGTGTGCGTTATAAGCTGGCGAGTCACCCGGCTGTCATAGGAGATGGTATTTTACCGTACACGGCGTGACCGTTTTAATGCAAGTGTAACGTGCGATATCACCAGCTCACAAGACCACTCTGACGGTTAACGTGTTAAAAGACAACTGGAACGCATGTAACATAACCTATTTCGTCGGATTAATGTGAAGGCGGGGTAGCAAAATATTAGAGCGCAGTTGTCGTACAGTGTGTCAACAATTAATTTTCCTTCATTACTGTTCAGCCTCACGTTTTGCGGTTGATAAATGAACTCTGGCCCTAGCATTTATACCGAAATGAAATATACCGAATACTTTGAACGGATTGTTACCGTCGATACCAGCTACGTCATATCTTAAGGGTGGCGCAAGGCATTATCGTAACCGTTACCATGCAACTTGTAAAGGTCTACAAACTTACCCCAAATCAACATATCGTTGAAATCTTGGGTGTCTTGATTCCAAACACGAAAAAAGGGGCACAAAACGTTAAGTTTTAAACGCCATTTTATTTAAATTTTCGATAATCTTCAAATGACACCGAAAAGACCGATTTACTAACACTTCCCCGTCAGTTTTTATTAATTTAAGGGTTGATTTTAACAACAAAATGAAAATTTACGCGATCGCGTCGCGTCCCGAGAGCCACCACGCAAACGCCGATTCAAATTCGAACTAAAAGTAGTTGGGACGCCATGACTTTTCCTAGCTTAAATTACGTTTATAAACCGATTTACGTATTGCGGGCCGAAACGAACGACGTCCAACTATTTTCCGCGTGTTTTATTTGCCGTTTTTAAAGTTTATTTTAATATTGCACTTCGAAAATTAACCGAAAACCGTAAAAAATTCGACACGTTCCGCGGAACGCCGCAGCGACAGCGCCGGTCACGTGCCGAAACTGGTGTTATGACGTCACGACTACGTGAGTTGATACGATATTCCACCACTGTTTCAAATTAACCCGTTATGTCTTTTAATCCAAAACACTCATATGAAATCAAAATACAACGCAAACAAATTCCAAGATTATTCTCCCAAGGTTCGCCTTTGAAACACTCCTGAGGACGAAACCTAAAGGTTCCGAAAGCCTCTTTGGGGGCCTTCAGCTTGACCTTTAAGTGTTCAAATGTTTTTAAAAGCACTCCTCTCCTGTAGAAAGCGGAGGAGGGACTCTCAGGGTTTCCTGGAGACTCCTTCGTCCCATTTTGATGCCCTTGAACTGTAATTGTTTATTCGCAGAAGTCTTTCAAAACGGCTCGTCAGAGGCTATCGCTTCGGCTTCGCCGTCGTTAAGACCTATTAAGCATTTTTAAAGATTTCGAAGGGCAGTCTAATGCTCCTAAACAGTGGCGTACGTAGAAATTAATTCGGGGGGGGGGGGGGATTAAACAAGTTCGTGGCACATACAGTCACCCAGTGCGTACTAGAAGGGGGGAGGGGAAGAAATAGAAATTGCGTTGCTTTTACTTTAATTAGTCAACGAAAACTTTGAATAATAGGTATATTTATGGGCAAAAAACCAATTTCGACAAAAAATTCAAAGGGCTGTAACTTTTGATCTAGTAATCCGATCTTGGAACTGTTTGGAATTATGGATTCTACAGGCCACATTCTATAAGAACATATTTTTTCCGGTCGATCTGAGACAATTTTTTTTTCGGGGCAAAAAAAAGGCAGTGTACCTTCCCTTTTTTCCAAAAATCGACTGCACCAAAATTTCTCGGGAAAAAACTTTTTCTTATTAATTTGGGTGCATAGAATCCAAAACGATTCGTACTTATTCGATTAGACGCCTCCATCAAAAGTTATGGGCAAAAAAAATTCCTGTTTTTAAAATTTAAAATTCTTATTTTCGTCATTTCGTGAAAGGCAGGACGCAGGTACCTCACCAATGTAGCGAATTGCCGATCGATGCCGACTAGCCAAATCATTGACCGCTAACACTGATCACTCATTGAATATTACAGAATATTTAGATTTTAGTGACTTTAGACTTTAACCGAAACCAAAATTGCTCTCTATATATACACAGGGCCGGACTGGCCCAGGCCGCTAGGCCGCCCGAGCGGCCGTGGCCCCGCGTTAGCGGGGATCCTGGACGGGGCCCTCTTTGGGTCAGGCAATTTTTGAAGCATTAATGCTTGTAAATGTTGAGCGTATTGTTAGTTTAAATTTGGAGAAGGATAAATTAATTGATAAATTTGCCAATACGTCATTGGAATTACAGCGCCTTCTCCTTTAACTTAATGTTCAATACTGCCCAGCAAGTTGTTTGAAATGCAATTAAAAAAATCTGCAAATCCCTTGTCTTTTTTCCGGGGGGGGGGGGGGGGGCCATGAGTTTGGGAGAAGCGGGGTATTACCTAAATACCTAATAGCTATGATGATAACTCAATTCTTTTGGGGAGGGGATATATCCCCTTCATCCCCCCCCGGTAAATACGCCACTGCTCCTAAAGACTAATTAAAGTTTCTCAAAAGGTTTTAAAAAAACTGTAGATCCGATTTGAGACTCGAAGGCTAGTCCATTCATAAGAGGGGTAGCACTTAGGCACACCGAAGGCCAATTATAGGATCCGACTAAGACTTTCCCCCGTTCCAGATAACTGTCGCCAAGGATGAGAGTGTCACAGTACGTGGCAGACCATTATGCTCGGTAGTTTCATCTGCGTCGCCACAGAACCCGCACTTGGGCTCTGCCACAAACCCAATATGTTAGGCGGGTGATGCTTGACCATCAAGTGCTCCATGAGGACACCGATGCTCCTCCTAATCTGGCTTCTATTCAGTTTTGGAAGCTTGGAAGACCCAGATTTGCAAAGGGGCCCTTTCGTTGCCCCCTATTCGGCAGTGCGCTGGCACACTAGATCAAGCTTGACCGTCACTGCATCCGTAAGGATCCTGCAAGAGTGCTCTCCTAGCTCATACCTAGTAAAACATATAAAAAAAACCTTTTGTGCAAATGTACAGGGTGTCCCATTTTTACGGTGTCAAACTGATTTTTTTTAATGCAACACAGTGTATATTTTTAGTTGTTTCCATGTCATTTTTTAATCTCTCCATGGAAACCTATTTGCTTTTTTGTTTTTTTGTTAATGTTATCAAATTATTAATTTTTTTCCGAATAAGCAAGCCCCATTTTGATAAATCGTAGCAATCTTGATTTTACAGTTAAGAGATACATTTGATCAACAATGTTAATCTCAATAAAAGGAAACACTTTGGTAATGAGAAAGTGGGATTTAGTGATACACAGGGTGTTCACAAAAGAATAGTAAAATTTCCAAATCGGTGTAGACAGTGATGATAAAAAACAATAGAATGCCAGAAAGTAAGCAAGTGTCACAAATAAATTATGCCTATTTCGTAGTAAAATAAGTTTAATTAAGAAGATGAATTTCGAAAAAGATGAACTAGTTTTTTTAAATAATCTTATTTTACTACGAAATAAGGAGTACACTTGCAGTAAATCATAAATTTTTATAACCACAGCCTACTTTTTATAAACAAGTAATTAATTAATATCAAATATGTAACTATTTTTGTGAAAAATATTGGAATAACCTGGAAACTACGGGGTTTTGGCACAGGACACCCCTTATAAAAATTGAAGAGCACGCAAAAGACTATCGAATAGAGAAATAAAATAGTAGTAGTTTCATTTGAAAAAAAAATCGTTATGGCAAATTTGGAAATTTTTTGTGAACACCCTGTATCACTAACTTCAACTTTCTCATTACCAAAGTGTTGCCTTTTGTTCAGATTCACATTAGTGATCAAATGTATTTCTTAATTTTAAAATCAAGGTCGCTACGATTTATCCAAATGGGGGGGGGGGGGGGCTTATAGGGAATTATTCAA